GTTGTCACAGATTTAAGCACATGCCATCCTACATGGTCAGTTCTGCCATTTTCATATTTTTACTCAAACACTACATGAATAGTTTGGTTTTGACATCTTATTCATTGTATATTCAGGTTTCATAAGCTTGTAACAAGATGCTATTGTCCATCAACAGAAGTTGCAAAAAGAGCACAGAGGGCTGGGCTCCAGCCATCTCAAATAAAGATTTATGGCTTACCTGTACGGCCGTCCTTTGTTAAGCCTGTTCGTCCAAAGGTTTTTTATGTTCATATAGGGATATATTAATTGGATAGCTGATTCGCTCACAAGACTTGAGGTTGTTATGTAGTGTCATGTATATTTTCCTCAAGTATCCTTAATTTGATTGTCAGATGGATTGAGATTGGATACTAGAATTATGCAGTCACAGTAATGAGTCGAGTAATTTAAGCTGCATCAGGCTTTAGAATTTTCTGGACGGCTCTAAGACCAATTGTTCAAAGGGATAAAATTCTATTACTACAGCCCATCCAGAAGTACAGTAACTTGTGGTACCCTACTGTAAGCAATTCCTGATGATTGAAGCTAATTTAATGCATAAGCAGGCTTCTATTTTGCCTAATTAAAAAAGTCTAGGTCCAGACAGCATGTTCATTGGCTTTCTTTTTAGCCCGACCTGAATGATCTTTATCCTACATATGTTTTATTGTTGTGCAAAATTCAGTTCAAACAAATTTCTGTGAAAGTGTGAACTTTTTTGAATATGCAGTCACAAGAATACCTAACAGTGGCAATGTGGTTGTTAAATCAGGTGTTTCCCTAACCATCTTTGGCCCCTTTAATTTATGCTGTAGGATGAACTAAAGAGGGAATTAGGCATGGATGAGGATCTGCCTGCTGTACTATTAATGGGAGGCGGAGAAGGTATGGGCCCTATTGAGGCTACTGCTCGGGCTCTTGGAGATTTGTTGTATGATGAGAATCTTGGTGGCGCGATAGGTCAAATTCTTGTGATTTGCGGTCGCAACAAGAAGCTAACTAACAAATTGCTCTCAATTGATTGGAAGGTTCCTGTGCAGGTATTGATTCGTTTAAGATCTTTCCTAAGCTTGTTTCTACTTTATCAGTCCCATGAATTTTTGGCTCTAAATGCTCATGCTTGCTCTCTCCCTCCCTCCAACTCCCCCTGCTGGATTTGTTTCGTCATGACATATGCTGAAAGCTCTTTTTGCAACCTATTCTAATGTAAGGTGGATGGCGATTTCAACTAGTGTCTGTATTTATTTGCATAACATTCTTTGAAAGAAAAAATGGGGAAGTTTTTCTTCTTTTTTTTTTTAAAATTGTTTCTTTAAATTATCTCACCGACTAGTTAGTATTTTTGAGGTTTTACTGGGACACAGGAACTAATCATGATTTGGCAAATAACGTGTATGTCTGACATTTATCCCGGGGGAGAAAATTTGTAGGAAAATGGAAAAAGATAAGTGACACTCCTAGAAAATAGATTGAAGAAACTATTAATGAAGATTTAAGGTCCTGTTTAGTCCAGTGTGGTATGGAAGGGGGGATACAATGCAAAATAATTTATGGATTACACAACTCGAATTTAATGCAGTGCAATCCTTTTCCATCTCCATCAAGGACACCACATGGAGCCTTATTACTCATAGCATTTGGGCCTGTTTGGGTGCCCCTCAAAATCATAGTTTGGGAGGCAAAACCATGATTTGGGTGGGATGACACCCAAACAATATCAATTTTGGGAAAATAATCTGAAACTATGATTTGGGCCAAAACTATGGTTTTGGAGCCTAAAACGATGGTTTTAGGAAAAGTGAATCCATTTTGCTTCTAGCTCAAATTGGATAGTACAATTGTGCCTGTTAGAATACGTTTCTAACAATAATATGATTTTAATCCCTCAATTAATTTTATAATTATATCTTATATATAATATATATATTATATTATTATATTATTATTATATTATCTTATGTATTATTAATTATGTTGGTAAAAATATATTATTAAAAAATATTTTATTCTTTCAAATTAAAATATATCATAAAATCTATTTTTAGTAATTATCATATTAACTTATATTTTTTTTTAGTAATTTGTATATATAAAAAGTGTTTCTGATAACAACTATCCAAACACTCTCACTTCTTAGAATTACTTTTTTACAAAATCTATTCTCTCTAAAATCTATTCTCCAGAAGCTATTTTCCAAACCATGGTTTGGTTTCATTCAAATACTCCCAAAGTAGTCCTCAGCTGGCTAACTGCTGAAAGAAACATACTTGTGGAGGGTTCCATTTATTTTTTCAGCCAAGAGATTCCGTTTATATTTTATCAAGAACTTGTGCAATTGACACTTATTATTTTATGGTGAAGTTTTTTGGTTCTTGCATCATTGGCTTTTGCATTCAGTATGTCTAATATTTCAAAGTCACTCAACTGAATCTCTGTCATTAATAAGCTTCGAGTATGAGTCTATCTCTCCGCATCTGGGTTTTAAAACTTCCAAGTCAATTTTCTGTCCGTAAATTGATGCATAAGGTTGGAGACATTTGATAAACAAAGCAAATAATCTATACGTATGTTGGTGTTCATAGCAGCTGCTGATTTTTTATTGTTTTAATCTTTACACCCATTTAGGTCAAAGGATTCGTCACTAAAATGGAAGAATGCATGGGAGCTTGTGATTGCATCATTACAAAGGTAATGACTAATCTTTTTACTTCCATTTAACAACAGCACATAATTTTCATATTCTTTTCCTGCTTTTGCAGGCAGGCCCTGGGACAATTGCAGAGGCCATGATTCGAGGCCTTCCCATAATTTTGAATGACTATATCGCCGGGCAGGTACTTTGCTTCTCAGTATGTTTCGTTAACCTTGGGAATGACTAGGGCTTATTTGCATCTGCTTATTTGAAGAGCTTATAAGTATTTTCACATAAGCCAAGATAAAACCTCCCTCAGATACTTACCTTGTGTTCTGTAAATAACGATTGAAAAGCTATTTATAAGCTATTATAAACAAGCCCTAAGTTATCCAGCTGCCTCAACTTTGTTAATTTGCTGAACTGTAAATTTGAGGCTGGGTTTTGAAACTTCAGTGGCTACAAGACTTGGGACAAAACACAAAATCCACCATTCTTCCTCCATTCTTGTATAGGGACATTTCAGGGGGTTGTTTTGGTCCAAAATATAAGAATAGGTAGGTTATGTCTGGTGAAGTAAATATTTTCTCCCACTTCTGTCCATCATTAAAGAATAATATCCGTCTTCGTGAGGCACTCTTGTATTTAAAATTGGAGAATTAATTACCTATTATTAAATTGAGATTAGAGGATTAAATGAAGAGCACTTCTGGAAAATTAGTTTCATTTGTGACAAAGTTAAGAGGTCCTACTGATGTCAACTACTTTTCTTAATATTTGAGAGTCGGAGTGAGTATTTTTGATAAGGAATAGAGGTGGCTGCTGTCACCTGTAACGTACATAACTAAATATTGCGAGTGAGTCAGCACTCTGCCACACAAGACCCGGAAACAGTAATTTACGACAGTTTTGTTTGGTTACAGGAAGCTGGGAACGTGCCCTATGTTGTTGAAAATGGATGTGGGAAGTTCTCTAAATCACCAAAGGAAATAGCAAAAATAGTTGCTGATTGGTTTGGTCCAAAAGCTGAGGAGCTGAAGTTAATGTCGCAAAATGCACTGAGGCTAGCGAGACCAGATGCTGTGTTCAAAATTGTTCACGACCTTCACGAGCTTGTCAGACAAAGAAGTTTCCTATCTCATTATTCTTGTACAGCTTAACATTACAGTTAGGCTTTTGTTTCTTTTTAAAACCAGTTTTCTGAAAAGGAGAGGTATAAGGCGGAGAAGATGCAGGACTCGCAGGCCAAAATACGTTTGTTTTCCTCCGCCCTCTGCGTGTATTGTTTGGGAATGCTCATTGCAAAATAATACAGTTTTGGCTGTCTTGTTCTTTTATAAATTCAGTTCATGGATACATTTAATTTTTAGTTTAACTTCCCTGCTGCTTGAAATGAGAGCTAATGAAACCCTCAAGGGGCCAGAGGTTTCCATTCTTGGCAGTCCCTAAATTATGGTACTATCTTTGTCTTACATATAAGAGTTAGTTACAAATTCAATTTAATTCTAAATATAAGTTGTTAATTCACTTTGTTTTTTATATTTATTCATTTTTCTCTAAAGTAGTAATCATGTGTTTCTATTATAGTATACATAATTAATAAAGGTATTTTGAAAAAAGCAACAATTACTCATTACAAATGATTAACTTAACTAATTTTCTTTATATTTATAACTTAGTTATCTACTTTTTATATTAAAATTAGAAGTAGTATTTTATGTTTTTTTTTCTTTGGATCCAAAATATTTTTCCCTTCTCTCTTTTAAACAAGAAAACCATTTAAATGATCTGTAAATTGGAGAATTCCTAAAATGCTGTTCTTGCATCATTATAATGAAACACTAGGCTGTACAGAGATCTGATCAAATCAATCAAGTTGAGCATCAACCTGGTGCCGTGATGTGTATTTTGGAGAAATTAAAAAAAATTAAGTTATCAATAGAAAACTTATATTGATTTTTTTTAAGTACTCCTTTTAATAATTTATACAGGAAATTACTTTTTGATGGGAAGCTTTTTTAATGTCTAATTTATGTTTATAAATTTGAGATACAAAGTTATTGGAGTTTTACAAGGCCAAAGCAAACCCTTTCTGATTTTAAATGATTTTAAATATGATATTTTTAAAAAAATTAAAAAGACATTTTTATAGTTATTAATATTAACTTTTTTATATCTAATAATTAAGTGTACTATCGTACATGATATAAAATCTGTGAAAAAGTTGAATAAAAAGATCTAAAAAAAAGTCATACAATTACAATTTATGTTTAATATTGATATTGATATTCCATATGAATTTGTACGGATGATATTCGCCTTATTTATTTCTGCTACACACGCGGTGCCGTTTACGCTCTAGCGCGAACAGCATCTTCTGCGACGGCGAGGCCTAGTCGGACAGTTGCGAGCAAATCTACTGATGGAAAAGGGAAAGGGAGTGATGGGAGGCGGGGGACGACGATGGGCCGTTGACTTCACCGATAATTCTACTTCTCATTCTTCTCGTGACGTTCCGGATCCTCCTGGTTTTTCTCGCGCTTCCATAGACCAGGTTCTATTCCTATCTCCCTGTATCGTGACGCTTGATTCAATTCGATTTTGGGGTTACCTCTCTTCTTTTCTTCTCACAGGATGATTCCTCTTTGAGTCGTCAAAAGAAGGACGCAGAATCCAACTGGAAAGCCCAGGTAACATTATTTGGTAAACATGTTTGTGTTTGGAATCATCATAATAATCTCTTGATTCACTATATTTTATAAATCGAGTTTCTTTTTTAATTTTTTTACATCGATGTTAAAGTGTGTAATTCATTAATTCTAAACCACATACATGGAGAGCGTGTTAGCTTCATCCATGAAGTGTCATCATGTTTATTTTTGCAGTGGAAAACAGTAAGATTAGATCACGGAACTCATTAAAGCAAGGACAAAAGAGATGCAAAATTTATGCCCCCTCCCCCCAAAGACTGTTTGCCCTGACTAGAGTTTTCATTTATATTTTTAGGGTATGCATGTATTGTTAGTTCTATGTACTGGATTGACTGCAGTCTTAAGTTCAGATCTTCGATATTTTGCTAACAGAAAGCGTGGGAAGTGGCACAAGCGCCATTTAAGAACTTACTGATGATGGGCTTCATGATGTGGATGGCTGGTAACACGGTTCACTTGTTTAGCATTGGTATCACCTTTTCAGCTCTTTGGCAACCAATAAGCGCATTACAAGGGGTTGGAAAGAGTAAGATGTTTTACTCTGTGCCCAAAAAAGTTATAGAATTCTTAAGCCACTATGCCTCTGTCTGAACATTGCTTTTTGTTTATGGTTTAAGTTTCAAATGTATAATGCAATCGTTATAAATACTACCAATGTAATATAAAATTGATATTTAAGGCTTAAGAGATACAAGAGTAGCATTTATGTGATTCAAATTCGTTGTGAATATCTGACTCCGAATTTCTGACGTCCATGCCCTATGAATCACCATTTTGTTCTCCCAGTCTTGTGCATGTTGCTAATTATGTGCAGAAAATTTGCACATCGAGTTGCCATTGTCAATGTCATCTCCATTGAGCCTGAAAGTATTTTTCTAGCTAAGAATTGGCGTCACTGAATTTCAGACTTATTGTATGCTGCTGTCAACTGCTAGTGGGTCAAATTATTACTGGAAATAAATCTATTGATGATTGAAACCATGTTGATTTTTGTATAATTAATCTCAAAGACCCTACTTCCTATACACTGGTGCTTAACGATTAGAAATTGAGTGGATATTTTATTGATGCTCTAATGGCTTATCAACTCTGCTCCGCTCCTTTAAGTTTTATTTTCTGGTATTGCTTCTTGGACTTTTGGGGCTTGCCCGTCTTACACCAAGAAGTGGTGAGCCCAATTCTCACATTGGTTGCATGTTCTGCTATATTGACCCGCGTTTCTGCTTCCAAGTTGCAACCTTCTAATGGTTTGTGATTTATGTTTTGTACGAAACACCACCTGGAGCAGTTTAGATTGTTCTGAGCTCATTAATGAGATGTGCATTTGATGCAGTTTTTGAGCCGTACAAAGACCATAAAGTGGATCTTCTTGGACCTAAGTTGCTTTTCATAGCCCTTAATTTGGGGGGCTTGGCCCTAGGTGTTTGGAAGGTAATATATATAGACTTGTCCCTTGAAGTTTTCATCCTCTTCCTAGTAATTTTTAGGAGAAGACGCATGTAATCTCCTTGAACTATAGCATAATTACCACTTTGGTTCACATCCTTCTAGATTATTGCAAAAATAGAGAACTTTTACCTGCAAGATGAAACCAACTTCTGAAAGCAACATGACTGTCGTATGATACTTTTTTTTTTTTTGGTCGTGTGATACTTTGTTTTCCCATCTTCTTTTCGAATTTCCTCTCTTGCTTAAGATATCATGGGACAGTCACTTGGCTTTTAAAAGTTTCTTTTAACTTATATGTAATATCTTCCCTTTTTGTTATACTATAACTGCATAAGGAGATAAAATTTATATTTTAAAGTTTGTGCACAAAATAGTACTTAGGCAACATTTCAAGGGGATTATATTAGTTTTACGTAACTTTTGAGTATGTTGTGTCTCCATGTTTTCCTCATGCAAATTATGTCAATACCTTGTGCAGCTTAACTCCCTGGGCCTTCTTCCTACACATGCTTCAGACTGGGTCTCATCCTTGCCACCTGCTCAGGTTGGATTTTCGTTTTCATAAAGAAAGTTAATTGTCTATTACTTCTATTGAAGTAATTTTAAAATATTTGTTGACCGAAACATAAACCGTAGAAGCTAGAAGCGTCATATTGCTGTCTTGAAAGCAATTGGGGGAATGGGTAATTTAAGATATTTTCCTTTCTTGTCTTATTTACATCTGGTTCAATTCCCCACTCTTGTAAATTTTAATTGATAAAAGAGATCTCGTTTTATTTTTCCTCTTAATAAGTCACCGTGAAGATATTATCAGATTGTCAGCAAATTGTTGAATTTAGTTAGGATTCTAGGATAAAGATGATGTTAATGTATCGCACCTATTTGAAGCATGTTGGTCTTCTTGAGGCTGTGAAAGTTATCGGAGATTAACTTGGACAGTTATTTTTAAATGACTAGGTGCAAAGTAGCTAGATCTACTACTTGTTAGGTCGAGAGCAGAGACAAAGATGCTTTTGCTTTTACTATGTCAACTTTATAGATCATAGATATAATTTGCTTTCCGATCTGAGGCAGATGGGCGACGTTGAAAATATAAATTTAGTTGGATACCAGCTCACCACACCAACTCTCTCTATTTTATTACTCATTTAAGGACTGCATTATTGGTCCCATCATTTTCGTGATTGTGATGCTGTGGATTTACCCAAGTGTAGTTGCTTGTTTTTGTATTCTAACCCTGCTTTTGCTTTCATGATCAGGAGGTGGAGTATTCAGGAGGGGGTGTCAGTTTGAGTTGATTTGGATCTCGTGGTAAGCACGGCATTGTCTTTGAAGGGAATTTGATTAAAGCAGGATGAGAAGTCAGTGCTTATTGGTGGCGTATCATGATGAGCGCTATGTACCATGAGACATAAATCGCTCCTGATTTAGAACAATATACAAATTCTTGTCCAGTTGACCTGACTGATTTTGTAGTGAACTAGAAGAGCTCTAGTTTTCTTTCTTTCTTTCTTTCTTTTTTAAATTTTATTTAAAAACGTTGCCGATGCTTAATGCCTTAATGAGTTGTACTGTTGCGTTATATTAAGAAACATGGTTATTCTGAAGTTAATTCACCATTCACTTCACCGTACGCCAACAATTGTTTAGGTAGAAAACCGCGTGAACATACTTGATCAAGGCGGTGCATGGTCTGTGGCTCAACTAACAACAGGACTTCGATGATTTTCTTCTCTTTCATTGAGAGGGAGAGAGATGGGTGAAGATGAAACGATTTAACATTGAAAGTGTATGGTCATCCGCATACTCCTATCACATCGAAATGTTCAACTTTATGTGTATTTTGGAATTCAATGCTTAGAAAGTGTAGAGAATTTTTCCTGTGGTTTGCGGTGAACAAGGAGGAACGTGATTCCTGCCCCAGTAAAGAACAATGAGGAAAAGTGAGGGTAAACAAATCACATCCACACTGAGTTTCTCGGGTGAATGAGTTTGAATTTTTGTTTAGTATGGCAACAAAATAAATTAATGTCAACCTATTGACGTCTTCCTTTTTATTCTTCTTTCGTAACGGAAAATCACTTTTATTTCATTTTAAAAAATAATTTGAACTTGGAGATGTGAATATTCTATTATACTTAGAGATGTTTAAGTCATGGGTTCAAAGAAAGCTCTCTTAAAGATAGAGATTTTAATATTTTGTCCATTCGTTAACTGGAGTTATCTCACCTTGTCTAGAAGTAGCAGGTATTTGACATGAACAAAATCTGCATATCGTAAATTATATTTTCTTTGTTGTGGTCCCTTACGGGTCGCTCTCGAGATTCTGATGCCTTATCAAAAGCTAAATTAAAAGAGGAAGGGTAAACATCAATAAAAAAATTATTTAAAAAATTAACATTGTAAGTTATACTTTTAAATTTATCGTTAGTACTTTTCAAATTATCAGTCCTTTGAAGTTTTAAATTTAAAATATTTTTGTAACAGAAAATATTAAATTACAATTTATTGAGGATAATTAATAATTTGAAAGCGTATTAATAAATTCAAACTTTAAGGAAATTAAGTTTTGAAAACAAATTTAGGCGTTCAAGAGATTTTTTGACAAAGCAAAAGGTGGGGTTTGAGTTTGGGTGAGTGAGCATTGAGCGTATTTGAAGTGAAATGAGATGACACGGAGGATTGACAAAAAAATTTAAAAAAAAAAACACATAAAAAAGGGAAGAAGAATGTGAGGTGAAAAGCATACCGTTCAATTAGCCGAGACTGGAGGAGGGTCGTCTTCTACCTCTGACATCCGTCTTTCGTTTCTCCGCTTCTCTTCGCTCATCAACGCTGCTACAACCCAATGGAGCTGAGCCCTCAGCAGCTTAGCCAATACAACGGCTCCGACCCATCCAAACCCATTTATGTCGCTGTCAAGGGCCGTGTCTTCGACGTCAGTGCCGGCAAATCCTTCTACGGCCCCGGTGGCCCCTACGCCATGTTCGCCGGCAAGGACGCCAGCCGAGCTTTGGCCAAGATGAGCAAAAACGACGAGGATGTTTCACCCTCCCTCGATGGCCTCTCCGAGAAGGAGATCGGCGTCCTCAACGACTGGGAAAAGAAGTTCGAAGCTAAGTACCCTGTTGTTGGCCATGTTTCCTTTTAATTCCACGTCTCCGCCTGTACTTTAATCTATGATCGTATCTTTCATGTTTATTTTGCTTGTAACTATGTGAATTGGGGTTCTCTTGCTCCTGATTATCTGACTGTTGCTCCAAACGGACTCTGTTTCTGTTCTTGAATGTACGTACGATTGCTTATCTGTGCAATAATAAAACTCCGTATGGTTTATTCCACCATGAGAAAAAGGAGTTTTCTGCGCCTATTTGGATGCTTATTGCTGCTAAATGCTCAGATAGAAGAGTGAATTTTGAATTCGTTCGTAAACACCCGATTAGGGCATGGTGGGCCTGTGAGATGTAATTAATATGTTATGAATGGATTCAAGACATGCTCCAACAATTCAATTATTGGGGTTTCTTATATCTATGCGCCATTTATCATGCCAGTAACAAATACGGCGCCTAGCCCCATCGGAGAGATGAATCGACTGAAGCGATCGCGAAGAGATTCCCACGCATTTTTCGCATCTCAAGTTCCAATTCACTGGTCAAATGGCATATAGCCAACGAATTCTGTGCTGAGCCTTGAGCAGGGGATAAAGGTTGAACGCAATATCTCCTCACTAGATACTCAAGCTCGCGCATCATTGGCGATGGCTTGTTATGCGTTTCCTTTTATCCTCAGAAAGATCCGACTGCTCAACTTTGCATGCGCTACATGCTATATTCTCCAATGCAAATCGAAATTAATCGATCATTCTTTTAGTTTCAGATTTTATATGGCAGTTTACTCTTATTCACGGCCTGATACTGGAGAATATGTGACAGCTGAACGATATTTCAATAACATTATCATAACCCAAAGGGGAAAAACGTTGGAATGTTCTAGTAATTTCAAGTAGGAGGGTCGGCATCAACTCCCCACGGTACTGCAGCTACGGTCTATGCCCATGAAAGGAATACAATAAACTGGGGACTTTTTTTTTTTTTAATAAAAGTTTAGATGAGTTAATCAGTGAGCACTTAGGTCACCAACAAAGTCTTCACGCATGATCTTGTAAATTATAAACTAATTTCTTATTAATTAGATCAACTTTTGCTGATAAATTTGGGACTAACTGTTTGTGGCAAGGAGTATGAATAGAAAGAACCACCACCCATACGCGCACGCAGTGTAGTTGTTGGATAAACTGGGACCTTTTTCTCTCTATTTTGCCTTTACAGCATATTTGAAAATTCAAATTTTAACAACGGATTTAACATGTAATTTTAATGTCTGTTTAGTACAGCGGACGAGAAAAAAAATAGAGAAAAAATTTCAATAAGTTCAGTTTGAAAAATTAAAGAAAAGTTTTTAATTAATTTTGTTATTCTTCCATCTCACATTTTTTCTTCATCGAAATTTTATAGTCCCATTTTTTTAATTTTTTAAATTAAATTTTCCCCCTCTTCCTGCTCCTCTCACACCTAGGGTTAAAAATCGTTTCATTAAATTCAACCCAATGGGCCGCAGTTACAATGGTCTCTTTTCCCACTAAGTGAAGAGAAGCCACTCCACATAGTTTGGAAAAGAATATTAAGCATCACTTAAGTCATCCACTTTGATTAAAGAATTAAAGAATAATCATAAAATTAACATGATTGAATCTAACGGGAAAATATTAATCTCTCACCATATGAGAAAAAGTTTGAATCCCCATTATAAAACTGCCCAGGTTGCTGTCATGTTTTTACGCTACTTGATCAACAACTTCTGTTTGACTTTTAGATATATCATGTACCAAACCTTAGAGTTAAACGGTAGAAACATATCTACCAACAACTCATATTCAGGTCCCAACAACCCAATCTCTACGGAGGAAGATACATTAAACATTCTAGCGGTTAACAAAAAGATTCCAATTCCCAAGCAGCATACATCTTTTCACCCCTCATGCTCTTTGGCAGGATATTTTCTTTTTTGCTGCGGTCCTTTTCATTAGTTTCTTTCAATTCCTATAGCAAGGAGTATTTCTTTAATTTGTTTAATTTATATCTGTCCTATAACTTTGTACTCCAACTCTATTATCTAATATGGATCATTTTGCCTTTTCTTTAAAAAAAAAAGGAAAAAGAAAAAGGCTCCAACAACCATCTGCCATCTCGCATTTAGGACCAAGGACATTAGAAAATCCATAGAAGGAATAGCGCGAGCTTCGGACAATGACCTTTTAATTGCTGACCAGAAGGAATACCGAAGCGCCTTCAAGTATAGCTGGGTAGTTTGGAGGCAGTATTAAGTAGATCCATTTTGCTTGGAAAAAATAATAACAATAAAAGTACCGTGATTTGCTGGAATAGTTAGCGAAGATTGCCGTCATGGTTTTACGTTATTTGATCCACAATGTGTATTTAGCTTTTAAAAATACAATTTATCAAACCATGGGTTAAAAAAATTGACGAATTAATCGGCTTCCAACGACCATCTGCCATGTGGTATTTCATAACCGACAACTTCAGAAAATCCATACCCTATCACTTCTATGATCATCCGCAATTCCGTCAAGTAATCCATACCCTTTTCCATTTTATGATCATCCGCATGATTGTCAACTAATTTGAGGTCAATCTACATACATGTTTGCTAAGATTTTTGTAAAATGGTGATTTGTTGATACATGATATGAACTCCAAACTGGTGTATGAGGTGTGTAAACGCCTACAACGGTGATTGAAAAGGTTTACAATCAGGTAGCAACACTGTGGCAGACACCACCGAACTGCACCATTACTTATTCCTGTAATAGACACCTGTAATAGTGGAATCGTAATCACTATAAACAAAGATGATGAAACTGATACAAGAATTAAAGAGATTAAATTAATAGGTTCTACCAAAGCATCCTTAGTTCTACAATGTCACCATCACTAAATATGACCATTACCTTGCTCAGACTTTTTCTCAAAGAAGAGTCTCACAGTTGAAAAGATGGTAGAAGTTTCAGCCATTGCACCATTCCCGTAAGTCCCACAAGCCAACCTCTTAGGAACAGGTGGAATGAGATTAATGCCAAGCTCATCAACGGCCATGAGATGCCGCTCAGTGAAAGGATTAGTCCACATTAAAGTGTTCATGGCTGGTGCAACAAAGAGGGGCTTGCTGTAGTCCCATGCTCTAACAACACATGTCAGTAGATTGTCGCACAATCCTCCAGCAATCTACAACAGCAGTTATTCAGGTTAAGGCCAAGGAACAGAATGGCAGTTTTCACATGTCAACAACTTAAGCATCTGAATGCATATGCATCGATTGCTAAATCTATGTAAACTTGAAAAACTGAACAAATACATTCATGGATAGGAACCAACACAGCATCATGTAACTGGTCAATATGGAGCCTTTTACAAGTCAGATTCTTTTACATGCAGCAAATTATTATGCAGTGTTTTGATTTTGACACAATGTAGAGAAACAAATCTGCCAAAATTTCTTTGATTACCTTGCCTAGCGTATTTGCTGATAAAGGAGCAATGACCATGATATCAGCCCATCGACAAAGCTCAATGTGAAGCACACGGTCCCCCAGTTTATTCCAACTATGCCATTCGTCGTCATCAGTATATAAGATCACATCCTTGGGAATTGCTGTTCTATCAATGAAACGCAAAGATGCTCTCGTGGCAACTCCTATTACTTCTGCCCATTCCGAAAAGCAGTGAGAGAGGTTTGCAAACTTTATAGCAGCAACACTTCCACTTGCAGCAAGAAGAATCCGAGGCTTCCTTAAGCCACCGGAATTTACTAGGATAGACCCTCCAGAATCTAGAGGTTCTGAACAGGCCATCATCCAGAGATTTCAGTCGATTCTCCAGTATTTAGGATCAAATACAGGAGTTTCAGCTCACCCGTTAGACCTTCAACCAAGAGGGTAAAATCCCATTAGAGGATAAAATGAATTAGCTGGAAGTTTGTGGTATTTGACATTCTTAATGCACAAGAATAAATTCCCAAGACATACAAAATTTTGAAGAAAAAGTATCGCTGTACCACACCCAGAATTTGTTAGAAAGTTTCATATTCCTGCATAGATATATTTCAGGGTAGGAGGTCAATATCCACCTCATAGCAACTGGTTCATACACACATAGAATAAGGACTTCAATCATCATCATATTCATTGTTAGATATATGCAGAACACACAACCGCAGGAATTAAGAAGCCGCGAACATCAGGACTGCAGGAAAAATACTTCCGCTGACAGATAATGAGCATACACGTCATATACTGTTCGAACGAAGGTAAGAAAATCCATCTCCGTTTCTCCAAATATGCAAAAAACTAGTCCATTCATCCACGAATAGGAATATAAATTAATATCGTCGCATTAACGCTATGTATACACAGAACACAAAACACCAGGAATAACAGACCTGAGATCATCAGAACAAAGAGAATCGCTAAACAAATGACGGGCATAAACAGCCTCAAGATGAAGGTAAGAAAACCCGCCAACGTGTAGTCACAGTCACAGTTTCACAGATCACAACTACGCAAAACGAAGTGCACTTGTCGGGAATAATGGAAAATTGTTTTGTAAAGAAAAGAAGAATCTTATTTATTTCCCACAGTGTTACGCATATTAAGCGGGAATTTTGATATAAATGCTCATGCTCTATAGGGCATTCCATCCAACAAAAAGACTCCGTTTATCCCGATTACGCGAAGACTCGATAGTGTCAGTAGAACTATGTTCTAAGCCATGCCGCTAATCACAAGTTCTCGCGGAGGAGGGAGAAGAGGGAGAGAAGAAAAATGTCGCACCGAACTGAATGAAACCAACTATTGTGAAAGATCTACCAAGAATGAAAAAGAGAACGAGAGGAGGAGGAGGAGGAGCTCTCGTAAAAGAGAGTAACAGTAATCTCACCTTCCGAGTTTATCTGGTATTCTTTTGCCGGGATAGTCTATTACGCAAAACTAAAAGCTTCATCCGCGACTCAAACAATGAAAGGATCAAGAACGAACTCTCAAAAGAAAACGCAGGAGCACCAACAGATCGCAGCTTGAGAATTTTAAATGGCAAATTGGCGCTTCCAAGAGTCATCTTTCGGAATTTTCAGCTTGCCATGAGAAAGAAACGAATCGTCTACCCCCAGATTCACGGTCGCATTACTTGTTCTGCTAATTGGGCCCTCAGTTAGGGCCCAAATATACCAAACAGCCCAAGAAGACCATGGAAATAAGAAGATGATCACCGACTACGATCTCCGACGATAATTAGTACTCACAGAGCGTCAGATTTCTCCAGAAATTCTATCCTGTCTTCAAGAAATTTGCATCTGTTTAGCAGTAAAATTAACAGACACCCCACCCAACCGCTTTCTATTGAGTCATAATTAAACGCTAAATATCAAATTATACTTTCTCCATTCCATCCGTATATCATCCGTATATAGCACTACTTCCTATCTTTAATATAAGAATTAATTGATTAATTTGAGTAGATTAAGGAAACTAGTTAAGTTAGTTATTTGTAATAAATAGGTGTTGTCTTTCTTAAAATATCCTTGTTAATCAAGTATACTGATTAAAACTATCATTATTACAACGACTACTTTAAAAAAATAAATAAATATAAGAAACAAGAACAAAATAAAAATCAAAGATATCTTATAATTAGTATCAAAAATATGTGTATAGTATTCACATTTCTAAATTACACATATTCTTTCGAACATTCCTCAGGTTAAGCTGCGGCTGAACGCCGAACGCCGAACGCCGAACGCGGAAAATTAAGGAGAATGCACTTTTAAAGGTGAAGACATTATTTACGATATATTTCTAATTTATACTAGTATAAGATAATCATCAATACGTATGAGTTACTGGCCCAAAAGAATACGTATGAGTTAAAACCATAAGGTAATAAAAAAAGTCTAATTTATGCTTTATGTCATGAGAGTCGGTCCCTTCGTTTTTTTTCTCCCTTCTTTTTCCCCTTTTTGACAGGGCGATGGAAAATTAAAAAGCTTAGAACTTGTGCGTCTATGTTGGGTCTTCTCTCCAGACGCCGATAGTCAGATAAAGCGTAGAGCTTGGTTGTTTCATCTCCCTCGTCAAGAAAACGACCAATAACTAATCGAAATCGATTTCCTTTTTCCTTTCATTTCTTGGATACAGTGTTAAATAATTTCTTGTGTTAGTTATTCGCTTTCCTTTTCTAGATCATATCGCTGAAAGATACCCCAATACCTTCCGTCTCTGCGATAATTATATTCTTATTATCCGTTTAGCGTTCAATTAAGCTTCATCTATGTTCCAGATAAACCCTACTACATACGCAAATCCAGAATCTTGCCAGCATCTTGCTGATTATAAGCTCAAACACGGTTTAAATGGTTACAAAGCGATCCAGAAGTTCCTCGCTACCTCCCCAACTGGGAAGTCTAGTGTCAAGAAACCCAATACAAAGATACCTAGATGCGATTACTGTAATAGATATGAAGGTAGACTTTATATTTGTTTGATTTGCTCTTCAGTCGCTTGTCTGGATCATACACTTGCGCATCCCCAATCTGAGCCTGGCCATAGCATGTTTGTAGATACTGCAAGGGCAGAGATCTATTGTGGACTATGCCGTGATCAAATCTATGATCCTGATTTTGATCAACTTGTGATGTTTAAGCACTTAGCGGTTACGCCAAACAATGATTATGGAAATGAAAGCATTGGACAAAGATTGACCAAAAGGAGGAGGTCAGCTTCAGGCATTGGATCATTGGATCCGAAGAAATCTAAATGTGGCGTTCCTATGACCGATCGGCGGGAGAAATCGTGTTATCCGCCGGGTTTGAGGGGATTGAATAATTTGGGAAGCACTTGCTTCATGAATTCTGTATTGCAGGCATTGCTTCATGCTCCTCCTTTCAGCAATTATATCCTGAGTGGTGAGCATCGTCCTGAATCTTGTCAGAAAATAGCCACCGACCGGCTATGTTTGCTCTGTGATGTTCATACGATGTTTTCGGCCATGTTTTCAGGCGATCACAGTCCATATAGCCCCGCTCAGTTTCTTTACAGGTATGCAACTGTTCTGTCTCTGAACTCCCTGATTTTAGCTAATTCTGCAACTAGATAGGCGTTAATGTCGTGAATATAATGATTGACATATTTAATCAGTTGGATCTATTCTACTTCAGTTTTTGTGGTGCACTCCGTTTGCTCGCAGTGGCTTTGTTTTAGATCCTCCTGATAAAATTTGCTTCATTAGTCATGCTTTAAGGCTCGACCTGATGCTTAATACTTTTTCACGCCACAAGGTTGACTTTGATTATTTTCTTGCATATATCTAGCTGCAATTTTTTTTTCCCGAAGCATCTTCAATTCAGACTTGAAACAATCAGGTCTTTGGATGTGTTATCTTGCTTTGATGCACAAAAAGCTCAAGTTTCCGGTACCGTAGTTGCTGAAACCTTTTGTTTTTGTTTCAAGCTGGTGGCAGCATTCAGAAAATTTTGCAAGTTATGAACAGCAGGATGCTCATGAGTTTTTCATTTCGATTTTGGATATGATTCATCAGAGAGAGGGCAAAACAACAAACAAAAGCAGAGGTACTTGTATTCTGAGATTTGGTGTTTACCTGCCTATTCGTTCTATCACATGCTCAATTTTAGAATCAAATATTTGGCTCTTCGTGTCTCCAGTGTAGTAAACATATATGATCTGCAGCTGGGGCATTCAGTCTGGACATGCACTGATTGTAGGATTCTTTGGGTATCTCATGTGTAAATAGCCAGGAAGAAATATAGTTGTAAAAGGTGATTATATACATAGGTGTGCTCACTTAATATGGCACTCTGTTAATGCGCTATTCAAATTCTGTCTAATAGCTTTACATCCAAAGTTTTTTAAATTCTTTTGTGTTATGTGGCACATTTCAGATAGATCTCAAGGACGTTGAGTGAAAAACAATCTTACCACTAAATAAGAAAATGACTAGCCTAGTCAGCATCTCTTAGTTATTATGTTTTGGCCAAATTGATGATGCCTGCCATTGTTTTCACAGATAATGCGGATTGCCAATGTATTGCTCATCGAGTGTTCTCTGGGTTGTTGAGATCTGATGTTACCTGTCTGGTCTGTGGATTCACCTCAACAACCTATGACCCTTGTCTGGACATTTCACTTGACTTGGATAATGTCAACCGCTCTTTGGCAGAAAAGGGTACGAAGCTTCCCAAACGGAATGAGGATAGCAGTATGTCAACACTGCAGGGCTGCCTAGATTTATTCACAAGGCCAGAAAAGTTGGGTTCTGACCAGAAATTCTACTGTCAGAACTGTCAGGAAAAACAGGACTCTTTGAAGCAAATGTCCATAAGAAAGCTTCCCCTGGTTCTTTGCTTGCACATGAAGCGATTTCAGCACTCTTTTGTCCAAAGAATGACGAGAAAGTAGATCGCTACATGCACTATCCATTTTCCTTAGACATGACTCCATACTTGTCATCTTCAATCATCAGGAGCCGATTTGGCAATAGGATTTTTGCTTTGGGAGGTGATGATTCAGATATGTTATCTCAGTTTGAGATTTTCGCAGTGGTCACACATTCAGGGACGCTTGAATCTGGTCATTATGTTTCCTATGTACGTTTAAGGGAGCAATGGTACAGATGTGATGATGCTTGGATAATTGAGGTGGAGGAGGCAGTGGTCAGAGCTTCCCAGTGTTACATGATATTCTATATGCAAAAAAACGCTACACAATAAAGCAAAGAGGATTTGATTCAGCTTCCATTCCCTTGGGAGAGACGTGTTTGTTCCTATTTCTGGGTATCAGGAAGGGAATGCGGCTTCGTCGATGGCCAGCTTGTTAATGTGCATCCAGAGCATATTTATTTTCTGTATCATTGCCCGTTGCTTGGGTAGGACTGTCCAAATTCAGTACTAGCAAAAGCTGTATTGTGAAAAGCTGGTCATGGAAAACAGATGCATGGTTGCCAATTTGACTGTGATGGAATATTTTTTTCGCGGTTATTTCGTCAGCAGCATTGACACACAGAGATTAGTATGAGAGGGAGAATGAAGCAACCTAACTCCTTCATGTTGGGCAAACAACTTACCATAATATGCCTACTCAGATTCGTTGATTGCAGATTACTCGTGTACAACATAACTCGTAGCAGCTGATTTTTATGAGCATTGTTGCCAGCATTGCTACTTGCGCTCCACACAAAACGTGAGGAGAAAGAAGGAAAACTAACATCAAAAGAGTTTATTTGAGTAATTGTCTTTTTCTCTCTAAGCTTTCTTCATCACCATCATTCCTTTTCCTTGTTTCTGTCATCTCTCTCTCTCTCACTCTAAACTTCACGAGGTTTTATTTTGTTATAAAAGCATGGTTGAAAGATTAAAGTTTAAGTAAAAAAATATATTGACTCGAATGATTTAGAAATTGTGAAGATTGAGAAAATGAGAGAAATAAAACTGAGAAAAGTCGAATTAATGTAGAATTTTAGAGTTATATAATATGCTTATGTGTAAATCCTGAGTCATCCTGGATAGGTAACGCTTGCGATCTATTCAGCGTATTTTCCCTCTTTCCGAAATTTAATCGCGATTAAGAAGCAGGAAAGTGACGGCAAATGCTTGTTTTTATTCTTGCACGAAGAGGCTCCAATTATAAATTAATTAGATGCATTTTGTTTATCTGTTTGTTTGGCTGATGGCAACTTGCATCTCCTATAATAATTAAAGATGACCCACTTACCTTAGAATTCAAGTCAAGAATCTCTTTAATCAAATCAAATAAAAACATAACAAGAGAATCTTCGGTGATTACATGTGCAGTTTTGCTGAACTGCTCCCCCGTTAGCCAAGTCTGCTTGATCGCTTCTAACAACACTTACACGTGCTTTATGGACAAGTTGAAGCACCTGTGCACGCTGCAACTTTTTTTTATCTGAATTATTTATTGGCGTGCCAATTTGAGATCTTATGGGGTTATACGCCCCTCCTCCACAACAAGAAGCTAGATCGACCACAAGTGTAATCTTTACCCCACCAATAAGAACTGCAACTGTAAAATTTTCCCCACTTCGTTCTTCGCTCTGAAGACGACAGGGGTATGTCTCAAAGTTGTGGCCGAGGATTGTCTTTTTTTGCAGAAAGCTCCTTTGGAGGCAGGCGGCCTGATTCATGAAGAAGCTTCTCCGTCGACGTTAAATATATGTGGGCTCGCAGTTTCTGACTTTGTTTTCACCCTTGCTGGGTTACTTGGTTAGTTGGTTTCACCCCAGAAACAAAGAGAGAAAGAGAGAGGAAGTTCAGGCAGGCCCCGAGCTTAGACTCTTTGTATATGACAAAAATGCTACGAAACATTAGCTTTTAGTTTCATATCATTAAAGGATCAGAGTTATCAAGAGAATACGACGCCATATAGCCGAAAACATTGGATGCGGAGTGTATTAATTTATTCCAGACACCCACGTGTTGGTTCCTGGTTCGATAACATCTGTACACATCGCACTCCAAGAACTTTTGCATTGACCCTTCAATCTCCGTTTTCAGACGGAGGAGCCGCCCTCTCTCTTGGGGTCACCATAGAGCCAGCCAACGGCATCTTACCCACCGGGCCCCACGTTAAACCTCCCCTCCTTCTATTATTTATTTCAGTGTTTGGATTTTATTGCCGCTTTTATCTCAAACGAATTTGCTACCAAATGCTACTTTTTTAATCTTAAATATATATTTTTAATTTATTTTATCTCTCATATTTATTTATTTTTAAAAAATAATTATAATAATAATAGTAATTTTAATAGATAAATTTGATTAATAAAAATATTTTAGAAAAAACACATATTTATTATAAATAATTAATTTAATTATTTTTTTAATTTATTTAAATTAGCAAATTAATTATTATATTGAGGACTGAAAGTAGTAAGATATTATCACCTTTAAAACCTGGCCCTCCGCATACAGTCTGACGCCGAAATTGGTCGTGCTCACTGACACGTTCGCGAATAGCCGTTTAAGGTCTTGGCCATTTTGGGTAATTTGCATAGAGTTTCTTATTTTTCGAAGAATAGAACAAAAAACAGAATGATATTTATGCAGACATTTTAAAGATATTTATGCAGACATTTTTCGGTTTGATTAGTCAATCATGGGAAAGTACGCCGCTAATATCCCCGGGTAACCATTTTACCACCATTAGATTCCATGTGAATTTACGGTAGGTTGCTTGCAGATTCACGTGTCAGAAAGCCTCTAAACGGTGAAAAAAAAAAAAAAGGAATTACCCAAACTACTCAAAGTTGGTTCATTCATGGTCATACTAATTTCTTGCATTTTTCCTTTTCTAATTCCCCCCCGTTTGTTCATTTTCTGCTGCCACTCCCTGTGGGTCAACGTTTTCTCTTTGAGATCTCTTCATCTTTAGGAGGCCCAGTTTTTGAACAGTGAAACCAATATATGATCCGCTTCCAGACCTGAAGATTTTTCTTGTTTGAAGAAATAAGAAGTAGAAAAATACCTCTTCTGTGAGGATTTTTCTTGAGTTTGGTTTTTATTCTTTGTTGAGACCTTCCATCCATCAGAAGTTTGAAGATGCAGGAGGATGAAAAGCTTGAAGATCCCTCTGGCAAAGAAGCTGTGGAAGAGGATGAACCCAACAGGGGGGTTTGTGAGTGTCTCTGCATTCCCGTTCACTGGTTTAAAATGCTCTCGAGGGAGTTGCATTGGAGTTTTGTAGTCGGTGTCGTCGCTGTGTATGGAATCAGTCAGGGCCTAGGTGGAGCTCTCTCGACTGTTGGAACAAAGTACTATATGAAGGATGTTCAGAAGGTTCAGCCATCTGAAGCACAGGTTTATGCTGGAATCACATCCATTCCTTGGATTGTCAAGCCTCTTTGGGGTCTTCTCACTGATGTTCTCCCAATTCTTGGATACCGCAGACGACCTTATTTCGTATTTGCTGGTATATTATGTTTCTCTCTCCTTTCAGTGTCCCTGAATCTCAGGATAATTGATTATTCCATTCTTAGGTCTCCTTTAGTCACAACTCCCAAGCTCAGTGCTTACTTAGACATTGTCAAACATATGCCCATATGATATGGGATTAGGTCAAATAGTATGCTGTTATTTAATCCAGCTTCCATTCATAAGCACCTTATTAAGAGAGCTGCTAATGACCATTAGGTCCAGGGGTATATTCTTCTCTCAGAAAACTAGGTTGGAATCCGGGTGCATTTGTGCAAGAAGCTCACTGGAGAATTGTGACGAAACCATGTGAAGCACTTGCTCCCTTCTGTCGTTTGCGTTTTAAAATTTAATTAATTGACGACTTCATCTGATACCCTTAATCAAGGATTGAGTGATATAGGCTTGTAGCTCCTATGAGGATGAATGCATTCTGTGTTATAAAGAAAGAATGTGTACAGAAACTTCTCTTTAGACAACATTCAAAGGCTTATTATCAGAACAATGTAATCACGTCCGCGTTGTTTAAGTTTCTTATTAATTATTTGACAAATTAGTACCACCTGCAAGAATGGCTTGAGTAACTTTTATAAGTTTCTTCATTGGAGACTATAGTCGGAGTTACAACTCCTCTGTTTGGATCTTGCAGGGTTCTTAGGGGTGATCTCTATGCTTCTGTTGTCTTTGCACAAAAGCCTGCATCTTGTTTTGGCTCTTTTGTCACTGACAGCTGGAAGTGCTGCGGTGGCTATAGCTGATGTGACAATTGATGCGTGTGTGGCACAGAACAGTATCTCTCATCCCTCTCTTGCTCCTGACATGCAAAGCTTATGTGCCTTCAGTTCTTCTGTTGGAGCATTAATAGGATTCTCCATTAGTGGCATCTTTGTTCACCTTATAGGCCCTATGGTTCCCCTCTTGAAACTAATATTTTCCTTTCCTTAATATCCTATGTACTGAATTGTATCTAAACTAAAAGGCTTTTTCCTCTCTTGCAGGGGGTGTTTGGTTTAATGACAATCCCAGCTGGACTAGTTTTTTTGGTTGGATTTATACTTGATGAACCTCGCATTCCTGGCTTTGCTTACCGACAGGTATAAATAACGCTTGCCATTTCTATGTTCATTATACATACATAAGTTGATGTTCGATCTTCCATGTATTGTGTTTAGGTCAGCCAGAAGTTTATTGACGCTGGTAAATCTATGTGGACAACATTAAAGAGTGACGATGTATGGAGGCCTTGTTTATATATGTACTCATCCTTTGCTTTGAGCTTGAACATCTATGAAGGAATGTTCTATTGGTACACAGACTCAAAGGATGGGCCATCTTTCTCTCAGGTATTTGTTTACGCAGAGATTTACGGTTAGGATATGGCTTTATGTAGATGGGAAATTTCATGGTTTCTCCAATATGACTATGACATAATGGCATCCAACCTCATGTTTATTGTTGTCATGACCCATACCTGTGAAGCTGAGATGCATATTCCTATCGCAAGGGACCATGACTTTGCTTTTTATATTATATAACCAGAGTATTCGTGTTTCTGCTAGAGTTGTTAGTAACTATGTTATTCTTGTAATCTAGTTCCGTATAGGACTTCATGGTATAAAACGCCACTAACCATTGCTGTTTATCCTGCTTATGCAGGAGAATGTGGGTTTTATGTATTCAATTGGTTCAGTGGGCTCCCTGCTAGGCGCAATACTATACCAATATGCTCTGAAGGATTATGCATTTCGAGACTTGCTCTTCTGGACTCAGTTGTTTTATGGTTTGTCAGGCATGCTAGATCTGATTCTGGTCTTGCGGTGGAACTTGAAATTTGGCGTACCGGATTATTTCTTTGTCATCATTGTTGAGAGTGTGGCTCAAATGACCTATAGACTCAAGTGGATGCCTATGCTTGTACTCAGCTCAAAGCTTTGTCCCTCAGGAATTGAAGGCACATTCTTTGCTCTGCTTATGTCAATTGATAATGCTGGGCTTCTGTCGTCCTCATGGGGAGGAGGTTTCTTACTCCACATTCTGAAGATAACGCGAACACAGTTTAATAATCTCTGGTTAGCTACTTTGATCCGTAACATATTGAGAATTACTCCTCTTTGCCTGCTATTTTTGGTGCCAAGAGCTGATCCCAACTCTTCCATTCTTCCTAGTGAGAGCTTAAGTTCAAAAGAGGATCATGAAAGTTCAGAACCTGAGAACATTGAATTGGTCCCCTTTGTGAACAGCGTGGATGGCAAGTAGCCAATGCATAGAACAATCTGAATTTTCATATTCATGAAAACTAGCGAGCGAATTATTGCTTTTTATCATCATACAGAGAATGAAATTGAGGAAAGTTTTAGAGCGGCATGTCTTGTGTGGTTCTTGCGTTTCCCTGTAAGTTATGTGACGTCTCATATCCAACGTCCCAGCGGCACAATTCAGTTTGTTACCCTGTTTCAACCAAAGAGTTAGAAAGAAGAGGCCAACATAAGTCGTAAGCCCCTCCAAGAGGCAACATTCCTCGGATTTATGCGTCAAGGATGGAGCATGATCATATGAGTCTTTGTTATCTTGATCATAACCTATTTCTGAATTAACTGCGGGTACAGGAATTGTGGATTAAATATTAAGGGAAAACAATACAAGTGGAATAATAGACAGGGCAAAAAGTGAGACAAAAGTGGCGCTTTTATTAAGCCCTTGAATAGGTAGCACTCCTTATGTCATTATAAAGAAACCTTGCCTGTTTTTGGGCGTTTATTATGATAAAGGGTAGTCATATAAACTCTTATTGCTCTCCTGTCTATATTCATTCAACCAATAGGATTGGTTTATGCCGGAAAAAAAAAAAACAATAGGATTGGTTACTTATAGTATAATTTTTCCAACAAAAGACGAGAAATTATTGTTTATGTAGTTTCCTTATAAAAGATTATGTAGTGAAATAAAAGAAAGCAATTTTTTAACTTTATTATGAAGTGACGCACATCATTAAAATTAAAATCTTTTATAATCTGCCTCGATATATATTGCAAGAGCTACCACGATATTTTATTATTGGTCTAAGTGGGAGGCACAGTTGTTTCAAATATTCAGAGATCGGTAAATAGTTTACATTGATAATGATTTTAATTTTAAGTATTGACGATTGACTAAATTTTGTTAAAATTAATTTTATTATCGTTATTGTTATTATTATTATTTATTTTATGCGTAAACGTCTTCGTTTCTGTTGCATCAGTGGGCCTTACGGGCCTGACTTGTGTGTGAGCCCAGCCCATTAGGATAAGTCATGCCTTTCATTCAAAGCCGTAGACCTGTTACCAAAAAAAAAAAAGCCGTAGACCTACGTATAAATTTATGGGTCGAGGTGAGCACTGAGCAGGGGTGTTTTACTTTCACGCGGCACCCTACACCTACAGAAGTCTACATTGACTCACTGTAACGATGGTGTGTATTGACCGTGGGGAAAAATCTAAACGTCCAAGCTTGGGTTTGCAACCAAACACCTAGGGTTCGTTCCTTATTCCGGATTAGGGTTAACTTATCAACATCCCAAACTTGTTCTGGCCTTCAGGGCGCCAATCAGCCTCGATATAAGCCCCTGGTAAAACTTCCCAACTTTTAACCTTCTCCTTGAAAGAGGACCAACGTCTCAATCTCGTTATTCGCTGCGTCTCAATTGCACTTTCGTGGTTATGTGTTCCGCTGCTGCATGCGTCACAGAGATATGATTCAAAACTCCGGGATTTAAACTTCGATAGATTTTTTTCTGGTCAAAAAAAAAAAAAAACTTCGATAGATTTTCTCCGTATCTCGCATTGTTGTTCTTCTGGGCACTGAAAATGTATAATCGTATACACTGAATACTTACCATTGATAACGACTAAATGCTGAGAATTTGGGTTTCGTGAAATGCTTCCTTGAATTAATAATAATAACTGGCTTTATCATAGTGAATTTGCTTGTTGCGATCACCACTTTTGAAAATTTGGAACATAGCAGGCAGAGATTTACGGTGGGAGGATGGATTTTTATGACGCTTAATAAAATTTACATTCGGTGGCCAGTGCTATATTGCTTGAAATATGGATTTCCTTTTGTCCAAATTTCCCGTTGAGAATTAATTAAAAACAAAAAAAAACAAAAAGAAGAGCTTAACTGTTGGTCCCCTGCTGTGAAGTTTTGGCCCAATTATTTGAATGAGACATCAAATGTTTACTGTAATTATTTAGCCAAATACAATATTAAGATTTGACTACTCATTTTACTCTTAGTGATCTGTAGGAAATTAGCTTGGATATAGCTTAATATAATTTATTTGAACAATTGCTATCGTTCCTATAACTCAAAGATGGTATATGCCCTGCCTTGTGCATTCCTGATATTGTATGTCTGCATGTTTTAAGGAGTAATGGGTAGCCAAACTGCTATGAGCAATGAACGGTCAAGGATGAATTGGACTCCAATAATGGAACGCTATTTTCTTGATCTAATGGTAGAGCATTCGCGCAGAGGGAATAGAGTTGGCCACACTTTCAGCAAGCAGGCTTGGAATGACATGCTGGCTATGTTCAATGCTAAATTTGGCTCTCAATGTGACAAAGATGTTTTGAAAAGCCGTTATGCAACATTGTGGAAGCAATTCAATGATGTAAAGAATCTTCTTTGTCGCATTGGATTCTCTTGGGATGCTTCTCGTCAAATGGTTATAGCGAACGATTTTGCTTGGGATGCTTACATCAAGGTGCGCTGCCTTATGATATAATTAGTTATATATTGAAAAAAAATATACAATAACAGTGAATAGCCTGCAGGTTCATCCTGACGCACGGGGCTACAGAACAAAATCAGTGCAGAACTTTGATGATTTGTGTGTAATTTATGGCTCCACAATTGCTGATGGAAGATATAGTCTATCAAGCCATGATGCAAGCTTGGATGACGAAGCACAAAGATTACAATTTGGCAAGTGCTGCTTTCTGTGTCCAGTTTCTTCCTTTATGCACAGCATATTCATTGTAGCTGCAGATAAATTAACATCTAAAAATCTTCATCAACATAATTATTTTAATACTGTTAACATTATAACTACTTGTCAGCCTATCCTTTCATTTTGAATGAGAATGGGTTGGATACAAACTTCTTGATGTTGCTAGGAAGCAATCATAAATTGATTTCTAATTTATTATTCCTTATCTACTTTCAGTGTTAACTTGTAGATAAGCTGAAAGAGTTTGGGATATTAATGTGGCAAATTAGAAACCTTACTTTTTTGTGAGACTGAGAATGCTATTTATTACTCTTCTAGTCTTATTTATAGGGCAAGAAGAGAAGACATTTTTTGGGTCTTATTTATAGGGTACTAAGAGAAATATCTTGTTTAGATGTACAATTTTACTTTCCATTTATTATTGTGTTGATTTGTTTACATAAGATATAATGTATATTAAATAGGGTTAAAGTTGGAAAGTTGTTGAATTTTAAATGCGAGTTAATGAAGTTTAAGATTTTTTTTGCTCTGTGTGAAACATGTTGGAAGTGACTTATAAATAAGACAAGAGGAGTATTTGACAAATGAAACAAGCTTGCTCAAATAGTTAGTGCGATGTAATCTAAAACTTTTGATGCTTAAAGTATCTCTCAAAGAAAAATTATTCATCCTGTAATATCAGTATTTGATTGTTAATCCTTTCTTTATAGGTGATGAAATCAGACGCATTGCCCCATCCAATAATGAGCATCCAAGAACAGAATGGACTGCTGCCATGGATCAATTCTTTATAGAGCTATTGCTTGACCAGCTGGGCAGGGGCAATAAGATTGACAATTCATTTAGTAAGAAAGCTTGGACAGATATGCTTGAGATGTTCAATACAAAATTTGACTCTCAGCATGGTAAAAGGTTTTTAAGGCATCGCTACAGGAAACTGTTAAAGTATTACTGCGATGTAACAGTTCTTTTAAAGAAAGGATTTTCATGGGATGAAAAACAACAAATGCTAGCAGCTGATGATAATGTATGGAATGCTTATGTCAAGGTATGTGATCTCGAAGACTCTTCATGTGAGTGGAGAGGGTTGCATGGATGCATGGACATTTTTAATTCAAGTTTCTGGTGTTGATTGACTTGAAACTCTTGTAGGCCCATCCATATGCGCGAGCTTATAGAATGAAAACTTTGCCAAACTATCATGACTTGGAATTAATATTTAGAAGTGGATCTGATGATGTCATGAGTAATTTGCATCAGGAGAAAAACCTTCAAGATGATATATCAGAGATAAACGCTGGTGAGTGACCGCCTACAACATTTTTCCTTCTTCTTCTTCTTCTTCTTCTTTTTTTTTCACTGGCTCAAGTGGTTGTGTTTAAAAGATTTACAACTTGGTCCGTAATGGTCATTACAAACTCATAGACAACCAACAAGTGCACTTGTCTGTTATTTTATGTCATCCATATAATTAATGTAATCTGGACCTTTTATTACATGAAAAAAATCATCTTCGTTGTCCTTGTGAATGAAGTCATGATTTTTAATCTTGGGGCACAAATGAGGATATTGCTCGTTGGCTTTCCTGTAAACACTGATGTAATTGATATTGGATACTGTTATAATTCATATTTGATGCTCTTTGATAATTGGGAGAACAAATAGTTCCGCTATGACTCTATCTTCTTCTGAAGGTGATGGAAGAGGGAACAACAACACCAGTGGCACAGATCGTACAAGAACATATTGGACACTTCCAATGGATCGTTGCCTCATTGACTTGTTGTTACAGCAGGTGAAAAAAGGAAATAAATTGGGGCAGACATTCATTACGCAGGCTTGGAATGACATGATTACTTCTTTTAACAGAAGATTCAAATCTCATCATGATAAAGATATTTTGAAGAATCGTTTCAAACATTTGAGGAGACAGTACAAAGACATAAACAAGCTTCTTCAGCAGGATGGCTTTTCATGGGATGATACCCGAGAAATGGTTGCTGCAGAGGACTGTGTTTGGGATGCTTATACAAAGGTGAACTATTCTACACCAATAAAGTGTCTCAGTTTTTTTGTAGCTAACAAACAATTGCTGCAGGTACACCCTGAAGCCCGAACACTTAGGGTTAAAACTTTGCCAGGCTACCGCAAATTATGTGTTATCTTTGGAGAGGAATGTGTTGATAAAAGATACAGCCTTTTGGCATCTATTACAAACCCTGGTGGTGAATTACCAACATTGATAACAGGTATGTTTTTGTGTGACTTCTATTGCAAGGCAGTTTCTAGGGCAGCTTCTGCTTGTAGTTTGAGTGGTCACTGGACATTATAGTGTAATAGTGTTTTTGTTGCCTTCTAGGCTGCTTAGTAGGGATGGAAGGCATTTTTATGTCAGCAACCATTTATTGGCTCCAGGAAAGTTTTTCCAGACAGTTCGTTCCCTAAATCTTGATTGAACTGATTATTGGAAAAGCTGGATGATAGAGACCAAGATAAAACAGTAGACAAGTAATGCTGAAACTGATATTAATCACACAAAAGGCTGGGTTCAATACAATATATAACTGGCACAGCTCACACAGGAAACAACAAAGGTCACTCAACTCACTAGCACACTAAAATACACACTGAGATACAAAGAAAATGATGAAGAAAGACTCTCTTCCTCCACTCCTCACCTGGCATTCGAGAGGCCAGCACTCTCCTCACCAAACTCAGTCCAAAAAATAAGTCCCCCTTCCCCTGAGAACCCAACGAATATTAATAGTCCAAAAAGTGATCCTCACAACCCCCAATACAACAGTTTCCTAGGCCAGGCCTATAGCCACTCTAGAGTAACTAATATGCTCAATAACTTTCTCTAAAAGACAATAAAGCTTGAGGCCAACGTCCAGGGTAGCAGAAAGTGATTTTACTCTTTCATGTATCTTGCTAATTTTACTTTTATAGGTCTGGTAAATAAAGCCGATTCTATCACTGGATTTTAAAACCTATTTAATATCTTATTTTAGGATGATATGGCAGCTTCTCTGTATACGGAGTCTGGGTGCCATGAAAGATATTTGCATTCTCACATATTGATTAGATTCTGTGTTAAATTGTGAATTATGCCTTGAACTTTGGTCAGAACCAATTACTCTCTCTTTCCATAATTATTTTTATCTGTTTTCTCTTGGGATGTCCTAAATTTAGTGCTATGGAACAAAACTATGGCACTATAAGTTTATGGTTTCCATTGTTGTCTTTCTAATTGCAAAATTGAGAAATAAAAAAAAAATAAAATTCTGAAACCTAATATCATAGCCTTAGTTATGGCTAACCCGAGAAAGTAGTGTGTTGGCAATTGTGTGTTAATAGAAATACTATTATATTAATATTAATTCTCTCACTCAGTTTACACATAATTTGTGTTTCTAAAATGACATAATCTGACGGGAGGAAGATAGTAAGTTGACATCTTTGTCTATAATATTAATATATTGTGAAAATTTTTCAACGCATTCATGACAGTGCAATCTTATCCTGTGCCACTAATTCATAGCAATTCTTTGAAAATGCTGATTAGGGTTAATTTGATTGGTATTCATTAGGGTTAGTTAGATGATATTCTGAATACTCATGGATATTTACAATTCAAAGGTGAAGGGAAGAATGGCAGTTTTCCCGGTGTTTATAATGCTGCTTCTACAATAGAGTGGACGGAGTCAATGGAATGCTGTTTCATTGACCTCATGATTGAGCAAGTAAATCAAGGCAATAGAGTTGGAAATAGATTCAATCAACAAGCTTGGATTCATATGATTAAAGCATTTAGCACTAAATTGGGACTCCAATGTGATAAGCAGCTCCTGGAAGATCAGTATTTCTGCTTGATGAAACACCATGATGACATCAGCAGTCTTCTCAGTCATGATGGATTTGCGTGGGATGAAGCCCTGCAGATGGTAATTGCTGAGAATGATGTCTGGGAAGCCTACGTCAAGGTATATTCTTTACTCCGTTGACATAGCTCTCTTGATCTCTTTTCCTTAATTGGAGGTGTCGGCTTGCATGTAGTCTACTGTTTCTCACAATCCTATTTACTCGTACCTGTTTGATGTTTGTAGGACCACCCGGATGCCATCTTATATAGAAATCGGTTTTTAGATCTATACCCTGACTTGTGCAAAATTTTTGGAAATAAAGTGTCAGATGCAAGAGTCAGTACTCAGGGTGAGATCCAGTGGATGGAAGCAGACAATATTACTATTGAAATAGATATGGATGGAACGTGTGGAAATTTGATTGTCACTGACAACAATAAAATATCAGGTCAGGATGCGGAGAGGCCAAAAGAAAAGGATATACATAGAGCTTCTGGAAATTCTGTTGTGATGGGCAACACTGAAATAGTAGAGCAAGATAACCAAAGACCAAACGAGTTGGATGGGCCATCAGTAAATTTAGCTGTGACTGGCAACACTAAAATATCAGACCGAGATATAGAAAGACTGGAGGGGATTGACATCACTGCCAACGCTTCAATGTCAGGCCCAGATATAGAAAATTCTGGGAAAATAAGAATGGATGGACCATCTGGATATGAAATCGTGACTGGAAACACAGAGACATCAAGCCGAGATAAAAGAGGGTTAATGAAATTTAATATGGGCAAAGCGTCTAAGAAATTAGTTCTGACTGGCAGCACGGAAATAAAAGATTATGGTAAAAAAAGGGGAGGTGAAATGCCTCCTGACTCCAAACCTCTTGACAAAAAACGAAAAAAAGACCAGAGAATACGAAAAGCCTTATCTGATATGGCGGATGCGGTCAAGAAACTCATGAATAAGAAAGATAATAGCAATGATAGATCTTTTCAAAATGCTATAAGTGCACTCCAAGCTATGCCAGACATAGATGAGGAGTTGGTAATGGATGCCTGTGATCTGTTGGAAGATGAGAGAAAGGCGAAGACCTTTTTAGCTTTGGATGTTTCTCTCAGAAAGAAGTGGTTGCTGAGAAAGCTGCGATCTCAATAGTTGGCTACCATAGTTGCTAAAGCCATTTTTCGAAGGTTCTGAATACTTTTCCTTCTTGATGGTTATTCTGGCGTAGTCATAGAAACAAACTACAAGTAATTATGATTTTGTACATCTTAGCACGAAGCTCCGTAATCCAAAGTTTTTATCTTTGGAAGATTTTGAAGGCCTTATCTTTTCTAATCGTTGGTTTTTATGTAAAAGCCAAACTGCCCCACGGCCTTCCCAGCGCACGTTAGGCATCAAATTGCTGTCCCAAACACACTTAGTAGTTTTGTTCGCTTGATTTGCTGGTGGTCTCTCTCTAGTGGCCTTGTGAAAATGCAAGGGCTATATGGAACGTTAATGGCAAAACAGAAGATGACATTTTCAGACCAAAACCATCCGGTTTTATGCATTAGATGCTTCTGATTTGCCAGCGTACCGCAAGCCAAACTGTGCAGTTTATTATGATGAGAAGGCGATGCTCCCCGACAGGGGATGATTAATAATTTAACCATCAAAGCGTATTTTATCTGGTAGACAAAATCTTGCAACCTGAGCCGTAACGCATCATCAAATGCCGCTGTTTTTATCATCCAAAAAATTAAAAAAAAAAAACACACACACACAACAGAAAAACCTCAAGCGATGCACATGGAATGATTGTCGCATGCACTTGCTATACGTAAATGGCATATTAAGACCTGGAAGATCCTGCGCAACATAATTGCGTCAGTCGGTGACTGAACTCAGATTTAGCAAATGCACCATTTAAATAGCACACACTCCAGAATCCAAACAAGGCCAAGTTTTCTAAATAGTGTTGGGGGTGAGGATATAGAAAACCAAGCCGATAGCTGTTATCTCGTCTTACGCTTCATCAACGCCTACAAAACGTATCAGATAAAAATATGGGCTGAAAGCAACACTTTCCTACTACGCAGCATACCCATCACATCTATACCCCACATTGACACTCTATAATTCTCTTTACATTTAAGATTGCCAGCAATTTGAGGTCTCAGGTACTTCATACATCAATCAATGAGCCAATTTCTTCAAATGTTGAAAGGTCTTTTGTTTAATCCATTGTCGGTCATAAGGCAGGTATGCTTGGATTGAATGATCATAGCTGCAGGTGGAAGCCAAACACTAATATCAGTCATTGCCAAGACAGTACACGAAGAAACCGACCTATACAAAACACTAAAAGATCGAATATGCACAACTTGAGTTATTACATTAGGCTATTACGTTTGCCATTTTTCCCACGCAAGTAGACCAAAGCTAGTCGGGCCAACTATGTAATACAGCAAATTCGTTATCCATAATGTTTTAACAGACTCTTTTTAAAGAGTTTTTTAAGAAAAAAGGAAACGGGATCGGATCAATATGCTTTCTCCAAGCGTGGATTCTCAGTATTTACACAATAATGCCACGTGAATGCAACGTGCGATGTGGAGGAGGAGGGAAGGGGGAGTAGGTAGGTAGGTAGGGGGTTGTGTGTGTGTGTAGAGAGAGAGAGAGGGAGAGATACACTAGAGCACTCATGTCTGCAAGACCATCTATGAAGTTGTAGAGATCAGCAATATCATATGAGAGATTTCTGACGGCCGGATTTATCTCCTTAAGCTTCCTTTCATATAAAGCGCAGATACCTGAATAAGTACAAGGATATTCATTAGCTTAAAATTAAAATTGGTAGGCTCCCAGGGTCACCGCAGTTACATACTCTTCATCATCAATAGAATGCATATATGAAGTCAAACGTCAATTCTAAATTGAACACTCATTCTTGCAATGCTACATGGTTGATAATGAATGCCAATTCAAACAAAAAGCAAAAAGGATGTGACTGGAAATCATGGAAAACTTATTTTAGGTGTTCGAAGTAGAAAATTATGGTTTAGGCATTTTCGATTTTATGTAGTTTATAACTTTGTAACGCCTGGCTTTTATTGGTATTTTCTGTATTTCCTAACTTCTGTGCTTTCTCTTTTATATATTTTGGCTCCCTGTGAATAGACCAAAAGTAGTGTTAGAGGTGTGTTTGGATTGGTGTTTGCACACACTCCATCATAAGTTACTGCAAAAGTTTGTCTCTATTTTCTTCTGTGCAAATTGCGTTTTGAGGCTCTCAAACGCAAATCCAAGCACACACGTCAGAATCAAAGTGGGGATCAGTTACTTGCCTCAATTATTTTTCCTCCCCCTCTTTCTCATTCCTCTTTCCCCTTTTTACTGCCATTCTACATCAGAATGTAACCTTCAAATGAAAGACATAAAGGAGACACTTTGAGGGCTAAAATATGCACAAAGGTCTGATGACCCATATTGAGATATAGGAAATGATTTTAATCCATAAATTGGTTTGGCGTAAAGGACTGTGTTTATGCAAATCAGCATAGGTAACTAGGCAGCATGTAACCAGTTCATTATTACTGGGAAACCAATTTTGGAAGTCAAAAGTTAAGTGCACGACTACCGTTATGTTCACTAAAGGACAAAAAGAAGTACAAAACAATTATTTACATCCTATCAAGAACTTAGTCCTTCAAATACTTGACACAATTTACACGGCACATTTTTGAAACACAACTGAGCGGTTAGTTTCTCTTTAAGGGAATAGGGTGAAGATCAAGTTCAGACCCAACACAACTCGAGAAGGGTCTGAAATTCTAAATTATTAAACAACGAAATATAAGATAATTTTTTTTTTCCTTTATGCCAAATGAACATTTAATTAATAATACTTCCCCGTCCTGGAATTCATCATTACCGAGACAGTTAAAAATTAAAACATTATAAGGACAAACCAAGGGAAACAGAGAAAACCAGCCATGTGACAAACCCCAAGTACCTTTATCAAGAAAAAGAGAAAGGAGGAAAAAAGAAAAAAGAAACAGAAAGAATCTCTTTTGATGATCAGTAGTAGTATGGCATTAAAATTTTCATTTTTTGGTATATCTTAGAAAGAAGTATTATATAATTAATGCAGCGACCATTCTTTGCAGCCATCCATACCAACCCAAATATCCAGTATGGGATATGGTTAGCTATGTTCTACCTATAGCCTCAAAACATAGCTCCATATGTTGATCATGAGAACAGGGAAGTTGAATAAGGGACATTTGTAAAACTTGGCATAGGAGCGCAAGCAACCACGCAATTTTTCCTTCAAAGTACCACATAATCCTAATTAACAGTATCGCAACCCAAAATAGCATCAAAACAAAATCAAGATTGGAGCAGAAGCGTTCAGCAGAAGCACATCATAGCCTGTAGACTAAACACAAATCATGTCTCCATTGTCTAAACCTTAAAATATAAACAGTCTATAAAGAAATCACTTTTCCCATTCCTCTCATAAAAGAGAAAATATTACTCTTCCAGTCTTTAATATAAGATGTATTTAACTAATTTGATTAGATTAAGAAAGTTAGATAAGTTATTTAATTATAAAAAATATGACATGTTTTTGCTAAAACACTATAATTATCTTTCTCAATATCAGCCCAAATCTCCAACTTGATTATGGTACTTCATTGTGGTTAAGGAAGTATTAATAGAGATAATTTAAGAAAAATTAATAAATATAAGAAATAGGTTTTACATTTAGGACTAAGATCAATTCAACAATTAAGTCCTATATAAGGTCCGGAGGAATATTATATTAACAGTTCAAAAACTTAAATCTTTCTTGACATGCTGCCATGCCCAACAAATATGATGTAATTAATTAAGATTACCTCTGCCACAGGTTAAGAACATGCCATTTTTATTCGTAGATGTATATTGACTATGTTATGAAATTTATGCTACTATCCGACTATATAATAGTTTGACCAGAAACCAAATTTACAAGGTCATAGAGTTTCTGATCATATAGGCAAGTGGCTTTCTTTCAAATGCTCACAAAATAACAAGTTTATAACTCTCCTAGAAGAAAATTTCTCGGGACATTCATGATTTCTTTTCAATTCACAAAGTTGCGTATCAAAGAGAACACAACAGATGTCTATTTTGATGTCACAATATTAAATTAGCCTGAGAATAGGAAAACAAAGCAGAGAAATAGCATGGTTGTGAGGATGATAAGATTCCCAAAGCAAGTTATACCCATACGTAAGACATACCATCCATTGCCTGACTTATCGACTCATAATCCATAAATGTTCTAGTTGCCCTGCTCTGAGAGTTCTGCATTAAAATAATTGTGTGGCGATTCGCCTAAAGAAGTTGTCAAAAAAGCAAAAATACAGTAAGGAGATCAGGAAGTTACAAACATGAAATTAATTCTTTAATGACAGATGAAAAATGAAACGCAAATCATATGATATTTGCAAACTTGCTCAACTTTTTTTCCCAGATGTTTTTAAGTTGAAGGAAAACATGTCAATGCCGATGGACCTAAATCATAGTAAACTGGAAAGAAAGGCTAGATGTCGCCAACAACATGAAGATGGAAATCAGGTAACAAAGCGATCTACACAACATTTGAGGTCAGAATAGGGTACAGCTGCACCAGTGATTTTATCTTAGCTTAGCAGTTAGCACGAACACATTTAACTCGGGCGCAGCTACTAGAACACTTACGCAAACAGATGTTGCGTCAGAAGCATTGCCCTGAAGTCCTAATAACCATCCATCCCACTAGCTCAAAAGTCAGGACAATCCCCGACTGCCCAACCCATACCTTCCCGAGCCCCCCCCCCCAAAAAAAAAAAAAAGCTACTGTTCTTGCCCGGTTTTTCCTTAGAAATCAAACGAGGGATTTACATAGCCCTAATATATTTCATGATTGCGCAGGTGATGAAGACTTTACCATGAGAGAAGAAGGGTGATCGGTGAAAGTCGACAGAGGGAGCGCAGAAGGCTGGGGGCAAGCTGGTGGCGTCGTTCGTTGAAGCTACGCAAGGTACCAATAAGGCGACCAGAGGGGCGCACTGGAATTCGTAAGGAGCCACTAGAGTAACGACAGATAAGCGCTGACGGCGATATGGAATCGGAGCTCCAGGAGGCAGATTGTTTTGGGGCAAGGCGTAAATATCTAAAAGAGTCTATCGATTTGTGAAAAAATATTTTTAAAAAGTATTTATTGGCATACGCTGAACATAATTATAAACTCTTAACATTATTAGACGATGGTGATCAAAAGCAATTTATTCTAGGGGAAAAAATCAAAATAAATTAATTCCTCGACAGTTTATAATTTATAATATATATATTTAATTTGGTTTGACGGTTGATAATTAATATGCAATCAAAAAATTATGAATGCATTTCTATTTGTGCGAGCTGTGTGTCTGTCGGAACATTTGACATAGCGTTCTGATTTATGGGTTACAATTTGTCTTTTATGTTTAACGGAGAAAAATAATAAATTATCAAAAAGAATAACACAAATATAAATTAGATCATCTGTTTTGGCCAAAAAAAAATCACCTGTGGAAAAATACATGTGATTTTTGTCTGACTAACTTAATAATAAGTATAAAAATATTTTACATCATGTATTTTTCATATATTAAAAAAGATTTGAGTCATCTCACCATTTCTTATCACATAAGCTAGTCTTAGCCTCTTAGGTGCATTATCGTGTATGGAATAAAAATTTAGCATAATTTAAAAAATGCCACTTTTTTGAGACATTGCACGCATCGGTATTTGCTTTTTAACCTTCATGAACAAGAATAATTAATGTGCATGATTTTTTTCTCTTTGAATTATTTACTTAATAGTATAAAATAAAACTTCAAACACATTTATATAAGCTTAAAGCATTGACATAAAGCATATTAATACAAAGTTTGCAATTATGTTTTGATGCCCTCAAAAATATCGCAAAGAAGAAGGGGGAAAAAAAGCACTTTGTTAATTATTTCATTTTCAAAATTAGCTTTTATGAGGCTTTTACCTTTTATAAAAGGTAATCTTTACCTCAGTGAAAATTGTAAATAACAATTTTTTTCTCTTTTTTGATAATGTAAATAACATTTTTCGTGTATACTTTTCTGTTCTTTTCTTCTCCTTGACCATATAAATATAATCCTTTTTTTTTTCCGGTGAGCATATAAATATAACCTCTGGTATTGCGTGTAGCGGATATACGTGCATTCATTCGCTATAAAAACAACATAACGATAAAATCACAGCACATTTAAATAAAGTTGCGTGTATATATTTAATTAATTTAAAAACTATTTTTAAGAGCCGGTTGGAGGAGTTCTTGTATATATTCTTTCTTCTTCTTGTTTTTTTTTTTTTTAACCAGCAGTTCTTGTATATATTCGGTGGATGAATTCTAACTCCCTCCTATTTTCATTATGTATCAGTATCAGTATGATTCATTATTATCAGTATTACTACCTCCAGTCCTTAATATAAGATCTTGTTTGACTTTTATTTTGGTCCTAAATATAAGACTCCAATCCACTTTGTCTCTCATATTATATATTTTTTTTCTAAAGTAACCTTTCTAATAATGATAGTTCTAGTCAATACACAAGGATATTTTAGAAAAGACAACACCTATTTAGAACAAATAACTAACTTAACTTACTTCCTTAATCTTCTCAAATTAGTCAACCGGCTCTTATAATTAGGACCGGAGGTAATACTAAAAATAATCAATTTTAAAAGGTTGCATGGGTATATATTAGTCAGAAATTAAACTGCCCAAAAAAGTCGATGCAGAATATTGTGCGAATACAAGATTAAATTTAAAACCACAACATGGAAAGAGATATTGGTGGAGGAGCAACACTTACAGGGCACACCAACATTGGGTACGTGCTTTGATGAGCATTGCCGAGTCAATATGAAGCTTCAACCACCAAGAGAAGGGCGGACAGGGAATCTCCACTTCAATTTATTATCCATCCCAATGAGATTTTTTTGAATTTTAAGGAGATCTTCGGTGATTTTTTTCCTTCAAGCTCTGGTTTTATACGTGTACAGGTTCATTTGGTTTTATTTTTAAAAAAAAATATTTATGTTAAATTTCTAATAATTATTATTATCTCTGATCCTAATTATAAAATATTATTTATAATTTATAAATAAGATCTTATATAGGACGGAATATAGTATCTGAAGTTTTACATGTCTATTTTTTTTACCTGCCGCATGCATCATGTTTTTCCAATTTGCTAACTATCCAAGCTGTGCATTAATGTTGAAGTGATCTATGACTTTAGGAGTGTTTGAATGTAATTAAAACCATAATTTTAAAAGTATTTTTACGGTGTACGAAGTAAATATAAGAAGTGATTTGTCTCGTTTTACAAAAAAAATACTCCTAATAAACACTTTTGGATGCTTCCAAACACCATTTTCCTTTTTTTAAGCCGAGTCAGCACATTTTTGCCAGGGTTCTCTAGTCACACTTTATACTGTCAGTCTATCACATGTCCTCGTGTGAATTCAAGATTAAAGGGATGTTTGGATAAAAATAAAACAATAGTTTTAAATATAATTTTATATTATATGAAGCAAATACTCAATTTATGAAATTTTTTTTTTTTAAAAAAGCATATTTTTAGCTTCCCAAACACCTCCTAAATGATGATATAAAAACAAATAAGATATGCTACCTCTTATCATAATTATAAGACATCATTTGTAGTTTATAAATAATGTCTTATAATTAGGATAGATGTAATATGATAGAGTATAGTTGAAGAATGAAGAATTTGAAGTTGTTCTATCCTTCATTTGAGAATGGCATTTGAATACACGCATAATTATATTATATCCCGCTAATAACTAACTGTATTTTTAAAAAGGAGTTGCTAGAGTGTCAATGATGCATTTTTCTCCCTGACAATTGTATTATAGCAAGTTGAGTTTTCTCACATTAAAAGGGACCAAATAACTCTGTAGCTCAGTAAATATCAACAGTTTTTTTTTTTAAAATCTCAGCTCACGTCATTATATTATAAATAAATAAAAAATTGAACCCATAACCTTACGCTTAATAAGAAGATACAAGTTATCAACCCAACATTAATAATGATTATTCTGGATAAATACTCAGTCACTCTCCAGATGTGAATTTGCGAGTCCTTTATGGTTATAACTTATAATTGCGAAGAAGATCTTATACCATCTTTTTTTAATCAAGTTTAAACCTGTTTTGACGAGACTCGAACTTGCCCATTATATCCGGTCAAAAAAAAAAAAAAAAAAGAACTTGCCCATTATAGAAGAATGTGATATTCTATGGCCATTGATTGATTTAATAAGATTTCTTCTCAATCCAGGAAGGTGCCACTTTCCAACCCGGATCTTGATGTGAACTCCTGTTTATATTATTACTAATTATTAATATTAATTTCTCCCTCCTCTTCTAATTATTAATATTAATTTTTCCCTCCTCTTCTGGTCGAACTTATCAATATCAATGTTATCCATCACTATTGCCACTGAAAGGAGGGAAAAAAAATAAAGTGCCAGTTAAGCGTTAAAGTAGCGGTTGATGGCTGATTCGATAAATTACTGAAGAAAGTAAAAATCAGTAGTAGAGAGAGAGTGAGAGAAGGAAAAAATTTGTACCTTAGGAGAAGGGCAAAAGCGAAAAGCGAGAAAAATACTGTTGGAGAAAAATTGTAGAATATAAAATCATTATATCATTAATCAATCTAGTATATTAAAATTTAATTCATTCACACTGTTGGAGAAAAAAAATTCAGTCACACTATTAAAAAATTAAAAAATTGTGATCTAATTTCAGAATAAAAGTTCATACTTTTTTTTTTATATCCGGACTACCTTTTCTCATCAGTAAAGGACCAAAGACGAATTTTTTTTAACAAATAATGAATAAATTTCTCTAAATTAACTTTATTGTGTACCTAAAAACTAATTTCGAACTGGCAACAACAACTTGCTTAAAAAACAATCACCTGCCACTCGCAAGTTGGGTAAAATGGACATACGTCATCTAATCTAAGCGCCCCGGGGGGGGGGGGGGGGACAATCATAAAAGCTAAGAAAAATAACGGACGAAATGCAGAATGGGATGAGACAAAAGTCGGAAGGAGAGGGAGAGAGTCCAAGAACCAGAGTGTCGTCGTCTTCCATGAACACTCACCCGGAAATTCACGAAGGCCCAACTCATTCCCTTTTTCTGCGCAGTCTTCTTTTTTTTCTAAGTAGCGTAGCGCTTCTTGATTCGCCTTTCATTCTATCCCTTTTCCTTTCTATCCAAAGCCGTCGTTTTCTCCAGCTCTTTACTTTCTGTCATTCACTTTCCCCGTCTTCTCTAAGATAAAAATATCTTCCTTCATTGCTAGGAGAGTTATTTTCCAGTCCCCTTCATTTTCTTTCGCTGTCACTTTGGTGCTGATCTCCGACTCTGCCGAAGAGGCCCTACCCGGTAAGTGAGTGCGCTCAGAATTATGGACTATGAGTTTTATTTATTTTTTTTAACCTTCTAACTTAACTCATTAAAGGCTGGATTATCATCTGGGTTTTCCTTGAGTCTACCTTTTGTGGTTCTGATTGATCTGGACTACTATACTTCTTTCTCTTCTCTTTTTTTTCTTCCCTCGAGTGTCGTTTTTTCTCATCCAAAACCAGTGGCAGCACCTGCTATTACCTCAGGGTCTCAGATTTTATACTTTAAGTCAATCAAGGTTTTAGTTGGAAGCAATGAACTGCTACTTCACATTAACCGAAAGTGTTAAAACTGGGGTGTTTTCTTTGGAAATTTCAATCATATTTTGATTCTTGACATCAAGGTAATCATCTGATGCGTAAAATGGCTCCGTAATGATCTCGCTGACGCTTTGCTGAATGAAGATATGATTTTCGCTAATCTGGTTTAAAAATTATAACCTTGTGTTTAAAGTTTGAACCATTATCCTTGATTTTATTTTGTGCATAGTTTTGTTCCGCAACGCCGATCGTCCCTGTGTCGTCCGTTGTGATCTTGGGGATTTATCATCCTTAACCCTACGACTTATACATCAGTCCTTACACTATACCGAGACTTCCAAGTTATTTTGTATTTTCCTTCAACTATCACTTTTTTTAAAAAGATATTTTCCCTTCAACACAACATCCAAGTTGTATTAACGAAATTTATGGTTTGTATGTTTCCTTCGTTGTATTTGGTATGATGCTCACTTTTTACCACTCGGGTGGATCTGCCTATCCTCTAGTTGTTGCTTGACCCCCTCGCTTGATTATGTGTTTCCTCACCATATTTGTTCTCGCTTACATTCCTTAGCCAGCCGCTTCTGTAATAGGATGAGAACACCTCAACATGCGTTTATTTGGTCTTGTTATCTGATCTTTATATGCATTCAAATATTTTCCACTTAAAATCGATCATCACTTGTTGCTGAAGTTATATATATATTTTAAATCATCATTTTCTCACCACTTGAATATTCCTTGCATTTTGCCCTAACTTCTCTCGTACAGGTTGCTTGATCTATGTCAGTCCCATTATGATTCATTAAAGGGAAAAAAATTTGATTTGCCTGTTGGATTCTAATTTTCTCTGCCCCATGTAGCATTTACGATTATGGGACATGTTATTGAATGAAGTTGAGATTTTATTTTCTATTACTTGTTTCAGTGCAAGTTTTCATCTATTTCCTGTTTAAGGTAAAGTATTTTCCCCCGCTTTTAATTCAGACAGAAATGGGAATATATCTAAGCAGTCCCAAAACTGAGAAGTTTTCTGAAGATGGTGAGAATGACCGTCTTAGATATGGTTTGTCATCCATGCAAGGTTGGCGTGCAACAATGGAAGATGCTGTGAGTATTCTATAACCTGAATAGTTGTTTGCTTATGAATCTGAATCCCATGAAGTGAATATCTTCGCCTGATCAATGTCCTATATCATAAGAAGTAACCTGCGGAGATGTAGTAAAATTAGGATTGGTTGTATAAGGTGTGAACCAACATAAATTACGAGGTCTGAACTCTGTTTGACACTTTTTTCCAGATTGCTTTCATTTGTTTGTCTAGTTGCAATGCAAGGAGATAAAGTTTGTTACTCAATACTCCTTTCTCTTTCCCATTAGCCTTCCAAAATTTTAAACTACTGGTATGTATATATTGACTGTCAAGTAATTTCATTAGTCAAGTGGCTTATGGCTCAACTTGTCCCTCTTGAGTAGTTCAGCATATAGCTAGGTTTCAAGGAAATATTTGTCAGAAAAGTAATCAGGAGAAATTTCTATCCTCAAATCTAATATGTTGTTGTATGGGTTTCTTTATCAGGACTCCTTCACCTCCATTCTTGTAGAAACAAATGCCCGCGTGTGTGTTTTCCAATTCTATTAGATGAACCAAAACTAAAAAGTTCCCTTATTCTGAGCTATATGTCCGCTAGGGATTGTCTTCAGCCTTATCTGATAATTTATCGTATGGTCAACTATTTAGTTTACAACATAATTGGGACATTTTGGGCAATACATTTTGGGCTTGATGAATTTTTTTTTCCTGAAGAAATGATTATTATACTACTCTTTTTGAAATTTCAACCTGGTTAACTGAAATTTGTGACATTTTCATTGCTTCTTAGTTAAACTATGAATATGCTGTTGATTTTTTTCTCCTCTCTTCTGCAAGCATGCTGCATGTCCAGATCTTGATGCATCCACTTCGTTTTTTGGTGTTTATGATGGGCATGGAGGTAAGATTTGAAGCAGTTTGGCTGCTTGGGTTGGGAGCAGAGTGCCATTTTTTATATTTTGCTACTGGCAATTTCTAAGCACGTTACAATGATTTTTTTATATTATTACCGTATTACTTCATTTACCTTCTGGAGAAGATCTCTCCCACCCCTCTAAGATGCAGAAAAATAAAAGCAGCAATTGTTTTCCAGCTCTCTGAATATTTACAAGAAAGACACTCTTGCCATGCTTCTGTGTGCATCCCCCTTTCTCTTTCTTCTGATCTCACCTTGCAGTAAAATTTCTCCTTTCCATATAAAGTGAAGAAGAATAGGCCAAGTTGACCTTTGAGCTGCTTTCTAGCTATCTGTTGTTCCAACGTGTTATACAAGCAATTTCTCAAATGGAGTACCAAACTGTTGCTTAGAGTAACTTTGAGGTGCGTGGAGAATGAATCCTTGAGATGTGTGAGGGCCCTATTGCAATATTATATTTCGTTGTTAAGAATAAACACTATAGGTTTCCACCTCTTGGGTCAAATAGATTTTTCTGCTAGGCGTCTAAATAATGTCCATGCTTCCGTTGTCTATTCTATTTTGTACCCTTTTGTCCCCTCAATGGGGCTTCTTTTCAAACAGGTAGCTGTTTAGTCCTTGTCCTTTTAAGACCATTTTCTTGTTGGCAATATGAGGTCCTTGTCTGTCAAATCTTCCATTCACTTAGTTTCACCTATAGAACGCGCAAAGTTTACTCCAAATTCACTGTTTTCATACCTGGGAAAGGAAGGGTGGGGTTGCATAAATAGTGTGTGTTTTGCAGTCCCTGCTGCTGTTTGAATGCTCACTTGTTCCTAAAATTTTCAGGAAAGGTCGTTGCAAAGTTTTGTGCTAAATATCTTCACCAACAGGTGGTCAAAAGTGAAGCATATACAGCTGGAGATATAGGAACAGCTCTTCAGAAAGCTTTTTTCAGGTTACAGGAAAAAACAGGGCCTATTTTGCTTAGCGACTTAAACAGTTGGTTCCTGTGTTCTTTATCCCACAAGTTCGCGACTGATATATTTCATGCCTGTGTGCTGTTAAGTTTTGGTTATACTATTCAAACTTCTGTTTTGAATGAAAATTTCATTTCCTAATTTTTCTTCCAGTAACTATCATTTCAATACACAAAGGCGTGAAGGTTACTTTGGTCTCATTCTGCAAGTTCTATGGATTTGTTCCAATCACTTGAGCAAACGGAGTAATGATGATTATATAGTTAGCATTTTGTAATGTCAAGTTTTAAGTTGCTGGTTATAATGTAAACATTAAGTGAGGGATTATCATCAACGCTTCTACGTATTCCCCACTGCCCTGGGTGTGAAAACATTGGGAAAAAAAGTTTTAACTGTTATGCTATTATCATATAGAATGGATGAGATGATGCGTGGTCAAAGAGGATGGAGGGAATTAGCCGTCTTAGGTGATAAGATAAACAAGTTTACTGGGATGATAGAAGGATTGATCTGGTCACCACGAAGCAGCGATGGTAATGACCAGGTTGATGATTGGGCTTTTGAAGAGGTATGTATGAGATTTTGATGAGTGACGCCTTCACGTTTTCCTTTTGGCTTTATGCCCTAAGTTTCTTTTTTTTTTTTTTTTTAAACAAATTATATATTGTTTTTAATTTAATAAATTTTTCCTTATCTAGATGAGCTGGTTTTTGGCAGGTCAATTAAATCAATATTTTCTCTGCATTTTTCCTTTCGTTTTCATTTTTTTAAGAAAAAAATATGCTCTGATTTGAACTTATTTGTCAAAACCAGGGACCACATTCTGATTTTGCTGGACCTACTTCAGGAAGCACTGCCTGTGTTGCAGTAATAAGAAACAACCTGCTTGTTGTTGCAAATGCTGGGGATTCAAGATGTGTGATATCCAGGAAGGGTCAGGTAACTGAAGATTGGAAATTCTTTATTTGCTCCTGAAAAAATTATAGTCGCTACTTTCATGGAAATATCCATATGCAAGTACAGATAAGTATCTATGCTGTAATTTGTATTGGTGACTTGGTGGAATGACTGTTGTGCTTTGGGCTCCAATCCATGTCTCAAAATTGGAGTATATAATAATTTAAAAATTATTCAGGGGACTCGTTTCAGCTTGAAAAAATAGAAAAAAGGTTCTTGTCTCATTTCTCTTGAAGACTATGTATGATAACGTTCCTAAGGTTACAATCCTTGTTGATTCATATTTTGTCTGACTTTGGATCTTTACCACAGGCGTACAATTTATCTAGGGACCACAAGCCTGATCTTGAGATTGAGAAGGAAAGAATCTTAAAAGCTGGTGGTTTTATTCATGCAGGGCGAGTTAATGGAAGTTTAAATCTTGCAAGAGCTATAGGTAGTTGGTTACCTGCGGATATTGGACTTTTCGAAGACTAATTTTCATTCCCCTTCTTTTTTTATTTTTCTTGCAGTCTTGTCCTTCTGTATCTGTAAGTGGCAGGGACATGCAATTCGTGGACATAATAAATAAGCACCTATATTGCTTGGCAACTTTCTTCTTTTTAGTTACTTTGGCCTTTATGTTGGTTTTTTTTTTAAGGCCGAAGGAGGTTCTTGTGCATGAAGATCTGTTTAAATTCGCATTAATGAAGATTTCTAATTTCTATGGATACATGTTATATGCTTACTTGTCTGTCTTTTTCCCTGTACACAGTTACCTGTATGAGAATGCAGATTATATTTTAGTAGGCTGGTGGGTTATTCTACAATTTTAATTTGTTCTCACTTGCTGCAGGTGACATGGAATTTAAACAAAATAAGTTTCTGCCTGCTGATAAACAAATTGTGACTGCCAATCCTGACATAAACACTGTAAGTTTGTTTCTTTATACATTTTGGCTAATTTCCTAGTTGATACAGAGATCTGTAACAAACTATTCACCAAAAAAAAAAAAAAGAGATCTGTAACAAACTTGTTCTCCAGTAATGGTAGAATCAACGATGAAATGATAGGTTAGGACTCACTGTCGTTGCTACACGTTTAAGTGTCTGACTTTTAATATCCATCTGTCATGATTGATACATTGTTTTATTATGGACATCTTTATAGGTGGAGCTTTGTGATGAAGACGAGTTTTTAGTGCTAGCATGTGATGGAATATGGTATGCTTCTTAATGTCCTATGCTTTCAAATGTTGGCTTTTATTGGAAATTTATTATGTACTTGTACTATATAAAAGATGTTTACAACAACAAGTCTTATCACATTCAGGTAAAACGATATTAGGATGGGATAAGTGAGATGTGATCTTATGAATGGCAAGATCCAACTCATGCCCTTACATGCTGCCTTTACCACTTTTGTTCATCCCTTATCATTTATCCACAAAGCATGCCCATGATTTCTGGATTTGGCTTTGGACAATTTCATGTTATACTTCCCCCGCAATGGGTCTGTTAACTAAGTCCTTGAATTTTTGTGATGGGATCTACTTCTAATCATTTCAGGGATTGCTTATCAAGCCAGCAATTGGTAGATTATGTGCATGAACAACTTCTGTCGGTAAGTTTGTTTTTCTTGACAAAGATTCTGCTTAATTTAACAAGTGGCCACCATTCTTTTCACAAAAAGAAGAAGAAGAAGAAGAAGAAGAAGAAGAGATTTTATGATTAGTGGCGCGTCCAGTTACTTGGGTGAAGATTTCATTGGCATACACCATATTCTAATGAAATAATTGACATGATATTTTCTACTTATGCAGGAAACGAAACTCTCAACCGTATGTGAGAGAGTACTTGATCGGTGTTTGGCCCCATCAACTGTTGGAGGTGAGGGATGTGATAACATGACAATGATCTTGTTACAATTCAAGAAACCCACCCGGTCTACTGAAGTGGCGGCAGAGCAATCCACTTCAAACGAACAAGCTGAATCTGAACCAAAACCAGAGGGAAGCAAAATTTAATGGGGCTTTTGGGGTGCAGCTATTCATTAGTGTGATATATACAGTGTAGGCCACTGGTTTGAATATGTCCGGATGGTCGTTTTCCTTCTTCCTGCTAGCCTTACCTACAATGATGATTCTGATTCATAGAAAAAATATTGCATTATTTTTCCCTCTCCACCGCCTTCTTTCTTTTACATCTTGGAGAGGATATGGTCCTCCCTGTGCAATTTAAACTGGCCACAAGTTTGTTTGTATCTACATAATGTTAATTGCACCCAACTCGCAATCCTAGCGCAACTTAAAATTCGAAATTTTGGCCCCAACAATCTGTTGGGTTTTTTTTTTTTTTTTTTTTTTTTTATAAAAGGTGATATTGGTTGGAGGAAAATTTTCAACTAAAAAAGAAAGAAAGCAAGAAAGAAATTGGAAGCAAACGATGAATCTTTTTGGGGCATTTAATAGAGTTCAGAGGCATAATGGAAATATTGCAAATTCCATTTTCTAGGGAATTTTGTTTGCTTAGAATAATAAAATTATATACGTGGATCTCTTGCCATTGACCTTTCTTAGGTACAGTATGAGTAGATTAAAAAAGTTTATTAATTTAGTTATTTATAATAAATACTATCTCAGGTCTTAATAATAAGATCTTATTTGTAGTCTATAAACGAAGTCTTATAATCAAAACTGGATGTAATGTGTTATTTTTTCTAGAATATTTTTGCTAATCATATTTATTAGTTAACATTATTATTTGATGAATCTTTTAATATTTTGCAACTACTATAAAGATTATTTTAAAAAATAAAAAAATATAAAAAATAAAATAGATTGAGATATTATATTTAAAATTATTTATTTAAATTAAAAAAAAAAAGCGAAGCCAACCAAGATATCAGTCCAAATCACGAATCACGATTATGAGAATCCCTAATTTTGTGGGGGTAATTTTGGAATTCAGGATCCTCTTTTGGAAAGCTACGAAACGGACGTCCCAAAATTATAAGGGGGTGTTCCCGTAATTTCACGGCTCCCTTTACTTCTGAACTGTCTACAAAAGAGTCATCATCTCATCACCATTCTTATTCGCGTAAGGTTACAACTGCAAGCCCATGAACGCTCAGTCTTCTGCCTTTTCTGCGTTCAAGCCTGATGATATCTATCCCAGTCTCTTTCTAGTACCCTTTCTCTCTCTAAAATGGTAAACTGGCCCCGCTGGACTATATTTTCCATTACGAAGAAAAACAAAATAAATTTAAAACAATGCGACGATACAATGAAGGCAAAGCTCTTTACGTATGTCTTCTATTCTCCTCCAGCCACACCTCCTGTTCATAAAACACAATCCTTTGCTTCCCTTAATTGCTATTCCTTCTATCTTTCTTGGGGCTCTGTTTTCACATGCATATACAGAATCCTTCAGTCTTTAATTGCCTCCAAATACTCATAATTGACTTTACACTCCAGGAAAAAACGCGGTTTTATTCCTGCGACTCCCACTGGAAACCCTGCCCTTCGACCCTTCTATTGTGCTCCTTCCGTTGAAAATTCAAAATTAAAGGTTGAGATGAAAAGGGGTTTTGTTAATTCTCATCAATTTTACGGTTCCCTCGATGATTGGAGGGTTAAGCGCAAATACCATTGTTTGTTGGAAGATTTTCTGGAGTTGCAGAAGGTTCGAGTAGTATTTTAATTTGTTTAAGTATACTTTTGATTTTGATAGTACGTGTTCTGTACTATATTCTATCTCGCCGCTTATATTATGCTCTTTGTTCCTAAAAGTTCTCATTTTTAATCCCAAAATGAGGCCAGCTAAGCGAAATAATGGAGAGGACAAGTAAGTTGTTATGTCTGTGTTTGAAGTTGTTTGCATGACTACGTTGAAGGGTTCTGAAAAATCCCCGATTTTACACTTTTTCTTTTACTCCATTATAGGCCCGTTTGGCATCACGTTTATAAGTATTTACAGGCACATTTTCGGTGCTTATCTCGTTGGACTGCAGATTTATTTGACTTTTATCTTGAAGTGGGAAGATTATCTTCAGGATTGGATGGGGTTTTATCTTCTCGAGTTCGCATTGATTTTAGATTAGGAGATTAAATTCATTATCAGCTACAACGATGTGGCAGGAGTTTGTTTCAAAGAAAAAGAAATTGCAAACTCAAAAGCAGAAGAGAAAGATGCTTGCAGAAGAAGTTCGGTATGAAACACAACGATTTCTTTTATGGCTACTCTATTTTCTTCGTTTCTGTATAAATTGAGACTCTCCATTCTGTCTTTCTGCTTTCAGGTTCTTGAGGCAACGTTATAATTATCTAACCAAGTCACAGTCAAGCAAAGTTGAATCAGATTTATTTTTGTGAGTAGAGTAGTGTACAGTTTTGTGCCGATAGTAGTCTAGATAACATGAGCATGTAATCTTTTGTGAGTAGAGTAGTGTACAGTTTTGCATTCAAAAACAAATGAAGAAACAACCGAACTGAGGGATTTTTGGACTTTAAAAACTAGAATCATAAGGACTTTTGTTTCCATTCACTTCCTCTAACACAGTCGACCGTGGAGCAGGAAGAAACGGAGAGGGAGGTGGTTGCGTGGATGAAACCATGCATAAAAAAGAAGCTGAACAATTGCTCAACAAATGACAACAAGAGCGGAAAGAGGAAAATATCGTGGCAAGATAAGGTCGCTTCGGGGGTCTGAATCCTCTGTTTTCAATGTAAACAACACTTCGTTTGGTCGAGGAAGAACCTGTCATTTGTTTTTATACCTGCAACTCTCCAAAATCGGAGTTGGAAAATTTTGTCCTAGTTAATATTAACTTTTGGTACTAGATAGCAACAGGTCAAGAATTTGGCATCAATATTTTGTTGAAGAAATGCAGCGTGTAAAGTGATTCATTTAACCTGAAGGACGCTTGTTAGATATTTGTTACTGACGGTGCTTTTTGTCAAGATATATAGGAATTAAGGGTGGTCTCAAAAACACTTATTCACATATTTTGAAATGATTTTTTTTTAATATATTCATATCATATTTTGCAAATTATGATTAACAGGTTGTTTTTGAAGAATTTTACGAACTTTCCAAACAAATCTGAGATTTGTCGAGCATTATTTGTATTAGAATTAGAATACTTCCACAGGCCTTTCATAAATGGGGGACTTCTGCATTTACAAATTTGAATCATAGAGGGGTTTCATATATTGCATAGGGTGAAAGGAATGAGTTGCAATATTTCTGAATAATGGGTGATGTGTTATTTATTTATGTTAAATAATATTATTCATAATTTCATATTTCACTAATTTATATATGGAATGATCAAACGCTCGTGAAACAACTATTCTTCTGATATTAAATATAAGACTTATTTTGTAGTGTAAATTATATTATAAAATAAATCTTATATTTAGAATCAGGACAGTATTATTTTTTAAACATCATTATGCTCACTTAGTTTTTATAAAAATTATTATCGAGTAATAACTGGATATAGATTCTATGTATTGAATTTTTTTTGACCCAAGATTCTATGTATTGAATGAAGTTTAAAAAAAACGAGTGATATTACTTATGACCAATGAATATTGAATTTCTTTTCAACGATGTACAATCTATGCTTTGACGGGGAATCATACTTTTAATCATTTGAATTTGATGTAAACCTTGTTTATTGTAAAAAATTAGAGGAATAAAATAAAATATTTTGTTATGAATATACTGTCGTAGTCACATGGATGTTCACGTATCTCTCCGTGTCACTTAAAATTTCTCAAATGATATGTATCTTTCACAATTTTAGATGAAATTTTTGAATTGTACTTAATAACCTGAAAGTGAATGAAAAATATTCTCTTCTATTCCCCGGGGGGAATCATCAAATAAATATTATTTTTCAATGATCATTTTGCTCCCTTGCAAACTTTTGCCAAATTAGCAATAAACATGTGGGTTTTATGTATGGTGCGCTAATCTGGAAATAAATTTCAATGCTTACTGTAAGAATTTTTATCTTCAATATTTTATATTGAATTTTTGGCCAAATAAATATTGAATATTGAATTGACTGAGTATCTCTATAATTTCGTTTTCTTATGCATTAAATTTTGAGAATAAAACTTATTGTAAATTGCTTTAAACTCGTCAAACTCACAGTATCTAAATTCTTAAAAGCATCATGCTTTATATTGTCTACATGACTTGTATTATCATTCGGGTGATCCACAGATGCAGGTATCAAACGTTAGTCCTTCATATTGCATCAGATTGACTTTCCTGCCCACAGTGTAAGAATATGCGAAAAACGGGTTCAATATGTGAATAATCATCGCAATATTTCGAATAGTATCCTGTTTACACTAACAATGTCAACTAACAATTCATTATTTCAAAATCTTGCGATTTTCCATTCACCTCCACAATTCTCTAATTACATGCTATTTGACAATTTCTAACCACTTCTACAAATTGTTCATGTAGTCACAAAGAATGGCAGCAAAGAACTTAAAAGGCTATACCTATAGGTCAGTATGAAAAACTACAACCTTTTTACAATCTTCGTCGTTTTGAGTCTTCGTGTGGCGTCAATTTGTTCCTCCTCCGAGTATGGAAGATGAAGGCCACATGTGCATAGATTGGGAGCGTACGCCTGCAACGACCAAAATTACTGTTCGAATAGAAAGAAGTAAAAACTTTTATTCTTTCGAAGAAGGCATTATGTTATGGATGTATTCTACAAGTGTTGAATACTCAGTACTCACAAGTCACAATTCAATTTGATCGACAAGTACTGTAAATTGTTGAGGCGTTGTCAGAATGAAGCAATGTTTTGGACAAAACTATAAACAGGTTGGTATCTAGAGTCCCCGAGATTTTTGAGGCACGAAGTCATAATCACCCGGACTAAAACAATTATAAGCTTCTTAAATGCGATATCATTCAAATGATATTGGGACTCTTAGTCAGCATTGATTAGGAAGCTGAGCAAATGTTCCCGAGTTGGGCCTGCATCCCCCAACCATCATCTTCTTGTACACGGCAAAGGCTCGGTCTGAATTGCCTGAGATACTATATCCTCGAATGAGAGCATTATAAGTGAAGACATTAGGTTCAAGGCCCACCTGTAGTAGTTCTTCATACATCTTTCCCGCCTGCTCAACCATACCAACAATCCCCAGATTAAGAATCAGTGAATTGTAAGAGTAAAGATCAGGAGTGATGCCCCTACTCTTCATTTCATTAAAAAGAGAAAGAGCATCCTCCAACCTACGCGATCTTCCAAGACCATTGATGATAAGGTTGTAAGAAACTAAGTCAGGATCAAGGCCAGTTAGCTTTAGTTCCTCAAAGTACCGTAGAGCATCATCAATTCTACCTACCATACACAGACACTCCACAAGAATGGTGTAAGATTTCAAATCCGGCCTTATCCCTTCTTTAACCATCCTCCTGAACAAATCACAAGCTGTTTCAATTTTACCTGCTTTCCCAAATCCATTAATAAGAATATTGTAAATTGCACAGTTTGGCTCACATCGATAGTCTGACATATTCTCGAAGAGTTGCATTGCTTCCTCCAACCTTCCAGCCTTCAGAAGACCATCTATAAGAGGGCCATACGTGCAAGGAGTGGGAGAGAAATCAGCACTTACAAGATCGTAGTATAGATCTAATGCTTTGTTCAAGCTATTAGATTTCACAAGCGCTGAAATGATAATATTATGAGTGACGGCATTAGGCTTGCATCCCCTTGAGAGCATCTCCTTGTGCAGCTCAAAAAGTTCATTGATCTTCCTAGATTTCCCTAGAACATCAAGCAACAAGTTGTAGGTAAAAATATCTGGGCCACAACCGATATTTTTCATCTCCGCATAGAGATCCCAGGCTTTTTCATTGATATTACATCCCAGAAGCCCATCCATCAAGCAATTATATGTTTCCAAGGTTGGGTGAATTCCCAAGGTTTTTGTAAATTTGTCAAATAAATTTTGAGCATCCATGGCCCTGTTTTGTTTACACAGAACTCTGATTAGTGGCAAAACTATAGAGTCATTTTGGCAAATTGAATTGTGCACCAATTTTTCAGCAAACAAAATGGCATTTTCTAATTTGGTTTGAATTAGAATACCATCCATTAATTCTTCCCAGAACTGTCTGCCCGTCTGTAAACCAACCTTGTGTGTGAATTCCGTGACAACCTTAAAAGCATCCTCAATCCTCCCAAGCCTCAAAACACCAGGAAGGAGGGTGCATAAAGTTACCTGGTCAGGGTAGAGAAATTTCTTCATCTGATGGTAAAACCAGAATGCATCATCAATTTTATCTTCTATGATCAGGCCATAGATGATGGTGTTATAAGTCAGAACATCGGGAATGCAATTCATTGTTGTCATCTTATACAGCATCTTCAAGGCGAACTCAACCGCATCATTCTTGCAGAGGCAGTCCAGGAGTGTGTTAAAAGTTACTGTGTTTGGGGGGCATCCACATTCTGTCATACTCTCAAACAATTCAAGCGCCTTTTGAAGCTTTCCCTCTTTCCCCAAGCCTCCGAGTAAAGTATTGTATGTCACAACTGTGGGATAAAGCTTCATATGCTTCATTCTCCCAAACATTTCCCATGCCTCATCAACCCGATTAGCCTTGTAAAGTGTGTCAATTAAAGAATTGACTATAATTACATCAGGTGCACACCCATTGCCCATCATCTCATCTAGAAGCTTTAAGGCTTCATCTACTTGGCCCACTTTACTATAGCACTTCATCATCATATTATATGTTACCGAATCTGGTGCAAGCCCACAATTTTGAATCTCACTGAATATTTCTTTTGCTTCTCTAATCCTACCCAATTCAGCAAGACTGTATAAAGAAGCATTACAGGCCACTATACTTGGCACAATTCCTCTACTTTTCATAGTTTCATAGGTATCAAGAGCTTTTCCCGGATCACCAGACTTTCCGTAGTAGTCAATGAAAAGGACATATGTAAAGGCCGTAGGTTCAACACCCAAAGATTTCATATTGTTGAAAAGCTCCATTGCCTCATCCAACCTTCTCAGCCGCAGAAGTCCAGAGACCAGTGTGTTGTAGGTATGAAGATTTGGAGAGATTCCTTTAGTGCTCATGACGTCTAACATAGCAAAAGCCTGTTCAACATTCCCAGATTTGCATAAAGCATCAATAAGTATTGTGTAAGTAACCACATCAGCAGCATAACCATCAGCTTCCATCTCACTCCAGAGTTTTTTCACTGCAACCAAGTCACCACAGTCACTGAGCTTGTCCATTAAGGTAGTGTATGTTATTCGATCAGGTTTGTGGCTGCTAGTTCTCATCTTAGTGTATAACTCCATGGCTCCATCAAGTTTCCCTGCAGCACAAAGCGCATCAATGAGAACTGTGTAAGTAACAACATCTGGTCCGCACCCATCGTCTTCCATTTTCTTCAAAATTCCGAAGGCATCATCAATTTTCCCAGCTCTCCCAAGCACCCTAATACATATAGTATATGTATAAATATTTGGCCTCAAACCCAACGTTTCCATCTCTTCCAATAAATCCATTACAGTTCCAGTATCCCTTCTCTTCCCTAAGGCTACCATTAGTGCTGAGTACGTCTTCATGCTAGGCTTTATTTCTTCCGCGACCATTCTTCTGTAAACATCCAAAGCCTCTCTACAGGAACCAGATTGGAGCAGTAAATGAATCAATCCGTTATATGAATACGCATTCAAGACAAATCCGGCTTTCCTCATTTTTCCGAGCGCCAACGGTGCTTGCCGAATCCCGCCTTTGACAGAAAGAGCTTTGAAAATGATCAAATATGTATTTAAATTTCTCTTGATAATCCGCTTTTGCATCAAATCGAAGACAAAAACCATATCCCCAATCCTCCTGTGAACCCTTAAGAACTCAAGCATGTAATTGCATGCTTCAGTCGTATGCACAAAATTCGGCAACTGGGCAACTGACTTAAAATACGAAAGAGCAGAATTAGGTTCCGCAATCGACTTGAGAACGCTCATAACTTCTTCGGATGACACTTTATCTCTTCTCTTCTCATTTACCACGGCCACCTTCTGTGAACTTGTTCTAATGCCTCCTTGCTTTATTCCATATTTCTCCCCATTCGCAGACCCATTGGGTATAATCTTCATATTTACGCAATTCCTCCGTCTTGACCACCCATTATAGTTAAAAACGTAGATATTACCATCTGTGAGGGGACAATTATATGATACACTACTACAGCACAGGTTTGAGCAGAGGATGAAGATTGCCATGGAAACACGATAACAATAATAGACGATGGAACGCACTCGGGAAGACGGATTTTGGAAAACACGAAGAAATCCACTTATCTAATGGTGACTAACAGCTCAACCGAGGACCTTGAAGTAGATCAGAGAAGACAGTTATGCGCTAACGTGAATGTACAAGATGGAGGGAAAACGGCCATGGTAGCCCCAGTCTGAACCGATAAGCCGAGGATAGATACTTCGATTCAGAATAATCCCCGGCGAAGGATTGGCTTCCATAAGCTTTTTACTTTTTAGAATTTTCCTTTTTTTCCGATTACTTTTAGAAAAAAGGATGTGGCGACCCAGCGGGAGAAAATTTCATCTTGCAGAAAAATACTACTACCTCGATCTTATTTATAAGAACTAAATGATTAATTTGAAGAGATAAAAAAAATTAAGTTAGTTATTTGTAATAAATATTTGTTATTTTTTCTAAAATATCCTTACTAATCAAGTGTATTTATCAAACTATTATTATTAGAAGGACTATCTTGAAAAAATACATAAATATAAGAGATAAAGTGGATTAGGGTCTTATATTTAGAACCAAAATAAAAGTTAAAGAGGGTCTTATGTTAAGGAACGGAGGTAGTATAAAAATAAGATGAATTAACTCTTATAGTTATAACCTCCTATCCTTAACATAAGACCCTCTTTGACTTTTATTTTGGTCTCAAATATAAGAGTTCAATCCATTCTGTTTCTCATATTTATACATTTTTTCAAAGTAGTCCTTCTAACAATAATAGTTCTAGCCAATACACCTGATTAGCAAGAATATTTTAGGAAAAATAATATCTATTTAGAATAAATAACTAACTCAACTTACTTCCTTAATCTCCTTAAATTAGTTAACCAGCTCTTATAATTAGAATCAGAGGTAGTACTTATTTATGCATTCAAAATAGTCATTGTACTAATTGCACATATTAAATATTTAATTAAATAATGGTTTTAGTTAATATATGATTAATAAAGATATTTTAGAAAAGATAACACCTAATTATTACATATAACTAACTCAACAAACTTTTTTAATATATTCAAATTAATCAACTAGCTTTTATATTAACTACAGGAAGAAGTATAATTTATTATGAATTAGTATAGATATGGATATGAATAGGCAATTGATTGGATATATAATACTACTTTCGATCTTTAATATAAAACCCTATTTGACTTTTATGCTGATCTTAAATATAAAAACCCAATCTATTTTATCTCTCATATTTACTCAATTTTTTTCAAGATAATCCTTCTAATAATTATAGTTTTAGTCAGCATACTTGATTAATAAGATATTTTATAGAAGACCACCTATTTAGTATAAATAACTAACTTAATTTCTTTTTTTAATTTCTTCAAATTAGTCAACTACTTCTTATAATTAAGATAAGAGATAGCAGTATATTGATGATTATTTTGTGTATTTATTACTCGGGTATACAAAATAATTTGTCGAAACCATATCATCTTTTAGTTGGCTCAATATGCATTTAAAGTTATCTTTTAACTCAAATTTTTAAAAATAAATTTAAGTGTGTTTGGATTGAATTTTAAAACTTGAAAAAAAAATCCTGCGCCAATATATGGATGTTTGTGCCTTTGGAGTTAAATTTTTTGAACATAATTGGGCCAAAGGCCCATTTGCCTTAAGAAAGAGGGCGAATTTTGATCTTTTTGGGGTCATTATAAGGCTGTAAGCGTAACTCGTATTTACGCATATAGTCAGTTAGTCACCAAACCAGGCTCTGAACCACACCTCAGCAGTATTTTCGACGGAGAGAAGAAGGGAAGAGGTCACCAAATTTGGCGTCACTGCGGCAGTAAGGTTCTGTTCGAATCTTGAAAGCCCTAGCCGTACTCATACGGAGAGGAGGCTACAGCAACTGTTTCTATTTTCTTTCTCTTTAACGCTCTAGAATTTATGTGTTTTCGCGTCTCTCCTCTTCAGTGAATGTGCCTGTCTGACACTAATATCCATAAAGAGACAATGAAAGGAGTTGAAAGGGACGACAGTGCTGTGCCAGAATCAGTGATGGATGCAGTAAACCAGACTTTGGCCAACGTAGAAGAAGTGCAGTCTCACTTGCACGAATTTTTGTCTCTTTCAGACCCCGAAGTTCTCACCCAAATGCCACCTCTTCAAAGGGCTCAATCCCTGTTCTTGCTCGCTAAAATCACTTCCACCCTGTATGCTTGTAAGTGAGGTTTTGACTTTTGAGCATCAGAACGATTTTTCTTTTTCTAAATTAAGTTTTATCAAATTACAACTTCAAGTATGACTCCACTTGAATTGATGGTTACTATTATCACTGTTGTTGTTCCCCACCTTTTGCTTTTTCTCTCCAGTGAAGTTGAGGTGCAGCGGTGTTCACCCAGATGATCATCCTGTCAAGTCGGAGCTAGTAAGTACCTTGCTTATACCAATGCATTTGCACTACATATAATGGATTTAATCAAATTGATTGTTCCAGTTTCATGCTCTAGTCAATTGTTACCAGGTCTGTACCCATGATCACGGGATACCGTTCCATTGTAAATTTTGATGCACGTTATATTACCACCGTAGTAGTGGTGCAAATTTTTTTTTTTTTGGGGCTTTCATCCATGTCATTCAAACAGGAAGCAGAGAGGAATGACTGAAGAATTAGAGATATTTAGAGATAAAACAGAGAGGAATGACTGAAGAATTAGAGATATTTAGAGATAAAACAGAGAGGAATGACTGAAGAATTAGAGGTATTTAGAGATATTACGGAGATAGAAGAAGGAAAGAGATGATTAATGCAAAGACTGATGAAGGAAAGAGGAATTGTTGGGAATGGAGAACTTCACTGATTTCTTTGAGGGGTTGGTTCAAAGGTTTTTGTTGAGAATGGACCTATGAAATCCCCTAAATTATAAGTTAAATTTGTCGTGTGGTGTGCTCCATGTGCCATTTACCATAGCAGAGGCTGCACAGGCCATTTCTCTGCTATCAAAGCGCTCGACGCAGTGCAAAGAGGACGTTCAATCTAGGTCCGAGACCTTTCACATTATGAGACATGCTGCATTCAGTGGGACTCCATGAGACATGCCTGCCTTTTCCTTTGTGAAAGACATGCTTCAAGTGTTTTACTAATTTGAATCAACTGGTTTGTAGAGCCCAAGCCAAGAAATATGAATTAAGGATAAGATAAAATAAGAAACTATGAAACTCATAGGGAAAGTCCAACCCAGCTTTTTATGCCACTTTTTCACCATATTTTTATGTTACCTTTTCTATGTAACAGCAAAATAATTATGGTGAAATTTCCTTTGACAGCGTTACAATGATTGAATTTGTTACAACTATTTTGCCTTTTAATTTGCAAAGTATGCTTTGGTACTATGTTGTTGGCTTTGTCTTATCTTGGTATGTTTCTTTATTAATACAGAATTTTGGATTTTCATTCTTGATATTAGATTTTGTTCTTTATCAAAACTCAATTCATTTCTTTCATCTTAGGAATTTATGCATTTCATATGCCTATTCATTTTATCCATAACAGATTTTATGACGTAATAGTTTACGGTACTTTCTATAATTCTTTTAGGACTACTTATGTATAAATTTAATAATTGAAAAAAAAATCTACCCGAGCAACGCCAGAGGAAATAAAATCTAGTTTCACCTTTAAAAATTTATTTAGGCTGTTAGCTTTTAGGACACTGGGGATGGAACTTCAAGAGTTCAAGGCTCATAACTTATTCACTAAATCTCTTTCTTCTCCTCAGTCGTTTCTGCTGCTCGGATGTGGATAGAAGAAAGAAGAATGTGCACGGCGCAAAATTAAGGCTCACAACTCATTCACTGCCTCTTCCCCTTATTCAAATGGCCTTTACTATTTTTTTTTATAACTATTTTCCCCCTTATCTCATAGCTTTATTTCACTTGGTTATGCGCCTCTTTTGTGTCTCTTAATAACGGTGTTTTTGAGGTCTAGCACCTTAAAGGTGTCTTTTGGCTGCTGTGTCATGCCATGCCCACAGCATATCACCAATAACTATCTCTAGCACTCGTTATTACTTGCTTATTTTGTTGTGCGTATAGCCATTGATAATTAAATCATGGTTTGAAAGTTTATGTGTGATTTCTTTCAGCCTTTAAGTTTTTAGCTCGCTTAAAGTAATTAACCTTGATTCTCAGGATAGGTTAAGTTTATACGAAGACAAACTAAGTCGAATTGAAGATTTGAGTAAAGGTACAATTATTGTTTCTTTTTCTTTGCTTTGAAGAATGCACTTATTTGTTATGTGTGTTGAGACTTCACTTCAAAATGAAAATGAAACATGGTGCAATTTCCATTTTGTGATGGAAAGCAAGTTATGCATTAGATCTTTCTACTTTATTGGAAGAGTTCCAGTTTACAATAGCACTGTTTTCTGCCGTGCTTGTTATTCTTTGGAATTTAGTTGAATAATTTCGTTGTTGATTGTGAAGCTCCACTACGACCTTCTGCCACCTTGAATCATCAGGCTGCTACCCGTTTTATTGAGCACTCTCTGCCTGATCTTACTCCAGGTGTGTTGTCAAGTCTTTTTCTCAAGGGCCATCTATCTGTGTCCCACCTAAGTTGATCTGATATTGATAAGAATGTCTTTATTTTGTGCAGAGCAGAGGCAAAATATGAGGAGTTTGAGTAGAGGGGAGAGGCCAAGGATGAATAATCAGGAGCGGAGTGGTCAAAAGAGGAAGTTTCAATCTTCGGAAAAGCAGTCCGTTCAAGCTGCTGCCAAAGAGTTTCTTGAGAAAGCAGCCCGAGAGATTCTTGGTAACAATGCTGGCAGTATCAAGGGACCAATACCAATAGACGTCTCAGATGATGACAATCAGTAACCTATGAACTAATTCTCTTGAATTCTGGTAGAGTTTCTTGTGGTTTGCTTCTAGACATTCAAATTTAATGTCTCAATTTTTTTGTCTTTCCATATAGTAATCGGCTTTGATCTTTCATGTGGTGTGTTAATTTACTTCATCTGTGTTACAATGAACGCTGAACCATCAGCCAATTGTCCTGATCCTTGGATTCCTTCCCTTTCAACTTCCTAAATTTCACCTTGCTTATTAAATCGGGACCTCTTATCTCTTAAATGCTAGTGTATTTGGAGGCTACCTGCTTCCTACTGGATGTAAAAATTTAAAACTGAGATTGAAGAAACTAGAATACAATAAAAGGGTGCTTTTTCCCGTAAAACATTTCTTAGTAACATGGGGTGGAGCAAATATTGTTAACTCAATAGGATTTTGGAAATTGATTGCCAAATGTCCTGTGAGCCGGACTCCTATGCTATTGATCAGTCACCTCATAGTAAAGAACCTGTACAAAGTCTAAAAGATAAAAACAAATTTCCCTGTATGGAACTGATAATTACCTTCTTGGAAGAATTACAATTTTGGACCTCCTGGCAAAAATATTCCTAATAGCAATGGTTAACCACATTCTAACCACAGCAACAGCATATTGAACTCAGCTCTCTGTGGCATGCAATGCACGTTGCCATTTAGGGCTCTTGGAGTTATGTCCAAAGTGTTTTGCATTGCAATACTGAAGTGTGGCTCAAATAAATGTTTGATATAATCCAAAATAGTAATACGCTGTAAATATAATAACTATATATGTAAAAACTTGTATTCAAAACATTACATAATAACTCCCACAATTATCCAACATCAGAAACTAGATTCATACACAAAGTTTAAGTAATTTCAACAGTTATAGGAAGATGGAAAAGATGTCCATCCTGATTCCTTTGTAACATGCAAGAGCTAACCCAGAGGGGTTTGCTGAAAATTTAAAAGTTTGAGTTCTTTCTAGATGAAGTAAGGAAGCTAGAAGAAACAAGAGAAAGGAAGAGTACCGACATTAGATGATGTCTTGAAACAGAGGAAATACAGAGAAAGAAGCTTGAAAAAGAAGAGGGAGGAAAAAGTAGAAATTTAGAGGGCAACAAACCTGCATCAAAATTGAAGCTATATTTTCATTTGGTGCATCCCATGTGCGCTGTGCACAAAGCTGTGCCGTTTAAACTTTTCGACTCTGGAAGGGTTGCATGCCCCGATACTTGTGGTGATGTGTGTGCCATGAAGTACACTATACCATGCCATTAACTACTACAAACTTTGCTTTTGGTTTCATAAATTGGAAATGTTTAACCAAGAGTTCCTGAACCGTAATTCTCCTTACTCTTTTCCATCTGGTGTCAAAATGCAATTATTAAAGCTTGATTTTACCTCGATCAATTGCTTCTCAATATAATCGTGTTTTTCTCCCATTCTAATTTGGAAGTTTTAGCTATCAGAGGCCCTTTAATGTTGTCCCTTTTTTTTTTGTGAAATCTTTAATAATGTTGTCCTTTATTATTCAATCCGCATTTTTATATTTTGGGGTTGGGTTTTTTTATTTGACCCTTCCAGCTAGCAATATTTAGGCGCCTTAGTTGTATATGCTTGTGCTGATGAAAAAAGCACATAACGCCGTGGCTTGACAGTGCCTGAATGAAGGCAGCACCTCTCGTGGTAAGAGATCCTGGCCACGTCTGGCGCCTCACTTCAGTGCCTAAGGCACCAAGGCATGCTACTGGAAGTAGAGAATTTAAGTCATGGGCCATTGAGATTTGAGTCGCCTCTTTCTTGTGGGGGCAATAATTAACTAAAAACTGAAGATAAGAATCTGTGAAATATATTTCTTTGCTGTCATGTCCACCGAGTTCTAGCAAAATATGCAAAAAGTGGATTTTTCCCCTTTTTGGCCAATTATTTGTGAGATAGATGTATAAAGTAATTAAATATAACTGCACGTGAATAAAGGGGATGTGTTTCTTCAGCTGCATTGAGAAAAGTAAAGAAAAACCCATCTCCTGGAAAGCTATAAATGTGTTTGTACAGATATCTATTTATACGAGAACTTCTCATGCTCACACAAGTTTTGAAGTTAAAAAGGGCAAGCTTGTCCCGTGCTTCTGTGAAAGAATTATGCTTCTGACTTCTGAATCTGAGGCAAAGATAGGTTGAATATTGTCGGTCTGTTACATTTGATGTTTGAGATTGATGAGTTATATGAATATTAGTTTGTTCATATGTCCTTTAATCTGTAGTAAACCTTGAAGGATGTGATTTTATTACAGAAAAGGGGATATGAAAATCATCCAATACTATCATCCTCTTTCTTTGTGTGATTATTTATTTGGAAAATAGTGAGCTTTAAGTGTTGTTACTTTTCTGCTTGCTCACAAATTTCAAATGAAGAGCACCTATATGTCCTAATAGCGTGACAAATCCCCAACTGCTCGTTATAATTATGGGAGGCGTGACTAAAGATGACCAATGCATGCCTATATTAGTTGGTTTCATTTGCTGTTGTGGACTTATGGTTGTCTAGTAATTGATGAATGAGGCAAAAGGATATGCTCATAAGTTTATGGAGTTTGTAGTTTTATGCCATCAAAAACCAACTTGACCAATTACATGGTTGGCTGAATTTATTTTTGCTGGGAATTAAATCTTTTCAGTTTGCACGAACAAAATGAAGCTGTGCTGGCAATCATCCTTATGCAAGTCACTAAGGGCAAAAACTGCGCTGGCCTTGTTGCTTTGCCTTGCTTTTGGACCTCAGCATTTCTTGGCGATTCAATGGCATCTTATTGTTAAGTAGCCGGAGAAAGAAGGGGCGTGTTGGCATGTTTTCACAAGTATGCTATGCGAAATCCAGTACTAGGGAGGAGGCATGCATTATGTAAATCTTGCTCTAGCTGTCTCTGTTAGGCTGTAATATTAACTTCTCTGAGAGCTATGCTTGCACGTGACTGGGGTTACTATGCTTTCGTGCTGTGTTAGTATATTAAACCATATATGTGCTCCAATTTTAGATGATCATGTTGATGCTTGATTTTCAGTTGTGATTAAATTATATGAATGGTCTCTAGTGGCTCTGCGATGAGGTGGGAGAATGGTAGAAGGCCAACAACTATCAAAACTTGTGTCCCTGTGACAGCGCTCGACCACCTCTTTGTGAATGGGTCGTCGGACACTGCGGCAGGTAATACAGGGAAGCGGGCTGAAATTGATAACCTTTTCAAGTTTGCATTTAGTCAACAATACTGATGATTATGAATCGCTCGATGGACTTTGAATTTTAAAAAATATTGCTGTGTTGAAATTTAATCCAGCAATACTGTTTCAAGTTTAATAAAGAGAAAATTGTATCGCTTTTTTTAAAATTCTGTTAATGTTAAACTTAATTAGAATGTGGGTCTTCTCCTTTATACGGCATATGAGACCAAGCATATTGTTTACGATTTATAAATGTGATGATGGCCTATATCATATTAAAAGTAGAATTGTCACCCAAAAAAATAAAAATAAAAGTAGAATTAGAAAAAGAATATTTTTTATCAAGCATTGTAATAAGTGGATAATGTGAATCATGTAAATATGAATATGAATATGGTAAATACGCGCCCCTGGATATACTTATTTTTGGAGTGATGAAGCCCAGAAACAACATATTTATAATGAAAATTAGTTTCATTTTATTGGCTACCAAAACAATTATTTTTTGTTGATATAATAAGCAATAAAGTTGTTAAATATAAATGAATATCAAATTAGAATAAATTAAAATGTTATTTATTTAAGCTCTCCTTGATTCACCTCAATATCGGGTTAAAGAAGTCAACTTGACACTGCGAATTGGAATGGCTCGAATGAAGAAATAAAATTCGGATTAATTTTCGGGCACCGTCATTTCCGTCTCCCTTGCGTTCAATTCAAGGCTGCAAAATATGGCTACCCCAACAGCTTTTGCGTCACAGGTAACAAGCTGCCGCCCGTTCAAGCTACCTGTAAATTCACTCTTCTCCTGTAAGCTCGTACTCTCTACCTGTTTTCTTCTTCGTTGATAAGCTTTTGGAGTATTTATTCTGCCTAGCGGCTACCTCCAAATCTTCGTTCTTGCTGTTCAGAATTTCTGTACTCTTTTCTGAATCTGGTGCTGTCTGGTCCTGTGTGTGTTACTTTTTCTTCTATGTTAATTTTCATCTACTGGGTTTAACATATTAATGGCATATGCTTCTTATAAATATGGAAACCTATGTGCTTAGCCTTTAATAATCATTAAATGTAGTCAGAATGCATGGATTTTTTAGAGAAACTTTTTCATTATATGCTTGCTCCCCTCCTCCCTTTCCCTCATGGTGTTTAACAATCAAAGCTATTTGAGGAGCTTTTGGGAATTGGTGATGGATCCTGTCGATTTAAGCTTGGAAGGATTTAATTCGCTTATTGTAAAAATAATTGAACGTGCTATTTTATTGAATTTCCACCAAAGATTTTTTTTTTTTCAAAAGATATAAATATTGTTCCTTCTTGATTTTGTTTCAACTTGTGTTGAGTTAGCCTAGGCCTCCATATGCGTTCCAAGCTCATCGATTGTCCCCCCCCCCCCTTCCTGATACCGGTAAGGTAGGATAGGACGGTTGTGTTATGATAAAAACAAGTTTTGGGGTTTGTCGTAAAGCTGGACTAGAAGCCCCATCCATAATTGAAGCTTTTTATACTTGCTCATTATCCTTTGCTAATGCTAGAAGTTTTTGCTAAATCGATTTTCTTTTAAAATTATCCTTCTAGTTTGCACACTGTGTCAAATTTGACTTTCTTTATGGTTTGGTGGTCTTCCGCTGTCATTACTTTAATATCCTGGTTTATTTTCCCCCTCCAAACCGTGCATTTACTCTGTCGATTCTTTTACCATGTGTCTTTAAACTTGTGAACCTCTTTCTTTCCATGGCTGAATGGGGGGATTAGTTGCTATTTCCTCTTTTAGGTTTTGTTCCCATCCACTTTTCCTTCCTGAGTTGGGCTCCCGGCCCCTCAATTGATGAGGAACCATCCCTTAAGGGGAAGGTTAATGTTATGGTAGCTAAAAGATGAATGAATATGTACGGTGAGGATCAGTAAAAGAGGGGGCTAATATTAGATAGTCTTCCATTGTCTTTTTATTATGCTATTGTAGTGCTCTCTCGGGTTCAAACTCTGCTTTTCAGTCAGTGCATATTCCTAGCCGACCTGGTTTGCTCACATTTTGGTTCTCTTTCCTTCAAATTTTGTGGAAGTTCTTAATCTTGAAGTTCTTATTTTATTTATTTTACTTTTTACCAAATAGCTTAGGAATCGTTTTGTGCATAATTACATTTTTCCTGTCTCGTTATCCATGTATAGAGGTGATGGCGTAATTACAATTTAGTTCTTCATTTAGGTGACGTAAACTCGTATGCCAGTCCTCAAAGATACTCAGCCATATCATGGCCTAGAAAGAAGACTGGGAAGGCCTTGCGATCTTTCCAAGTATATGGCTTATTTGGAGGAAACAAGGACAACAGCAAAAAGGATGATGATGCCGCGTCAAAGGTCAAATTAACTCCTTGCTGACCTTTCCCCTATATCTAAGCATTTTATCTCATCCGTGCCCCCCTAATCCAGCGTTGCTTAATTTTATATTCTTAATCCAACCAATCAATACTTGACGTCTTTTACTTTTTTTTTTTTTTCAACATGAAAAAGCAACTGTGACCCGGACATAAAGCTGTCTAGCTTGTTCTAGATTGAATTCCATCCCTCCATCAATCACTGTCAAGTCTAATAGTTTTGATATTCCTATTATTTGATTTTGAAGTTCTCATATACGTTAGAATATTTTTGGGAAGAAAGTTTGGTAAATCTGATAAACGTCCATACTGAACTGGTGGTGCTAGCTGCTATGAGTATCGATTCGATATTTATTCCTTTCCAATATACTGCCTGTGTCCCCACTTTTGTCACCTTAACTATCTTCCAACTATCTCTTTGGAAGTATTAGGTTAACTGGAATTGTGAATAGTCTTAATAAACTTAAAAATGTGAGAAATAATGAAATTTGAAGGTCATGGATGAGGACAGATACAGATGAGTGTTAAATTGAGTGTTAAATGATAAGACTGATATTTTAGTGATTTTATATGATTAAATTTTCTTAACCTAGAGATTTGGGGTTTGGTGCGATAGGGTCCGTGGTATTAGGATCACTTCTGATTCTTTTAGATTAGGAAGACGTTGCAATCAAAGGCGATTATGCCACCTACCCTCTGTAGTTGGAGCATGAACTAGAGAAGTCTTAACTGTTATGATGAATCTAATGGAATTCTACTGACGAAGTCTGCCGTCTGGAGCCTTGCATCATATTTTGACTCAATGGGAACTGGATATAGTCAGGGATGCTGGGTAATATGCAGAATCTATATGACACGGTTAAGAAAGCTCAAATGGTAGTTCAAGTGGAAGCAGTGCGTGTTCAGAAAGAACTTGCTGCGTAAGATCTATTTTTTTTTTTTTTTTATTTGGTGAAGCTTTCATGGTATTTTCACTTTTTCTGGGTTGATTTCATGACTTAATTGTTTTCTCCTGTCCTTTCAGATCAGAGTTTGATGGTTATTGTGAAGGTGAACTCATAAAGGTATTGTAATTTAATTGAGATTAGACTTACTATTACTAATAAGGCTCAAAAGCTATTCGTTGAAAGCAAAATCGGATATCAAGTGAAAGAAGCTATTGACATCTTTGTAGGCAACTCTTTCTGGCAACCAGCAACCTGTTCGCATTGAGATTACGGAAGCGGCGATGGAACTAGGAGCTGACGTACGTATTCAAACCTTCTTGGAAATTTTTTGAAGCATGATGTAGAATCATTTCCATTAAAGTGGAAACATGAGTCGTCATTATTATTATTATTGCAGAAACTCTCTCTTCTGGTTACTGAAGCTTACAAAGATGCTCATCAAAGAAGCGTCCAGGTGAGAGATTTGAGTCCTGACATTGTTTGCCTGCCTTCTTTTTGTAGAAAACGAGCGGGAAGTTTTGACTCAATCTGACCTTATTGATCTTTGCAGGCCATGAAGGAGAGGATGAGCAGTCTTGCCCAAAGTTTAGGAATGCCACAAGGGCTTAACGATGGTTGAAGTAGAGATTAATTCAATTTTCTGTTTCATTATTCTCTTTAGATTTTTATATTATTATGGACAACTATATTTTTCTCCTGTAATTTAATGGTGTAAAGGCGAAGACGACCAAGGTACTACTACTTTGTAAGAATTTCTCATCACTTCCGTTGGGATATGTATTAAAAAAATATGAAAAATCTAAAAGTAAACTTTTACATACATATGAAAAATCCCCAAAAAAAGAATAATAATTATAACAACAATGGTAATAATGAATATGCTTCGTTCTGACAATCTTATACATAATAGAGATGTAAAAAGAATAGGCGTTCACATCAGAAAGCCCAAATGGTCAGTAATCCCAGAACTGCCGCGAGGCCACCTTTTAAAGCTGAGGCGCTGCTAGTGGGAGCTACAGCTGGGCCTTCAAAATCCGTCGGGGCTGGAGCCGGGGCAAGTGCCGGAGAAATACCAGTAAACCTACGCTTGGGAGTGATAACCACCACAATGAGCTTCTGGCCCTCCTCACAGTGTCCCTTAGCCCCGCTAATGAAGTAGAATGGCCCAGGGCGGTCGAGCTTCACCTTGGTGTTTCCGTCATTGTACTCCTTGATGGGATTGGCGGTGCTGCAGTCACCATAATCTTCCCTGCTCACTTGCAAGACCGAGTCTTTCCCACCATCATATTTCCAGACTGAGCAAGAAAATAATCAAGGAGAAAGAATAATCAGTGATTTTGCGCGTGGAGATTCAGTGCAGAAAGCAGAAACTAAGGTATGATATAAGTAGTTACCGAGATAATCGCCGACTTGGAAACGAGATCTTTCGGCCCATTTGTTGAGGGAGTCTGATTCAGAGGATGGTATCTTCCACGCATCGTTCTTGCCTCCGATCAAGACTTCCTTAGCCGCAGAGAAGCCGAAGAGAAGGAATGCGATGTAAAGGGAAACCGAGGCAGCTCTTGAAGAACCAGCCATGGATTCTGATGAGAGATAGAAAAGAAGCAGAGGAGCGAAATCCTTCTTCCTGGTTCAACAACAGCAGGTAATTCAGAGACGGGGCAGATGAGGGCTTCGGTTGCATAAGGGTTTAGACGTTGGGGATTATTTATACTGATGGGAGAGGGACAAAGAAAGTAGAAACTAGCCGTTGAGACTTGGGGAAGTGGCAGAAGAAAAGCCTGATTTGTGGGCCAGAGGCTTTTTGTGCCTATTACTCCTTAATGCCCTTGCAGTGGAACAACGGTCTAAAATGTTATAAAGGGCAGATCATACCTTGTCTGTTCGACTGGTCTTTGTCCCTTTGGGCGCTTTTTTTTAACCGCAAATTTTCTCCCTCGTTTCGAACGCGAAAATACCATTGTTTTTCGGCGTTTCGAAAATATGTGATTGTTTAAATTTGTTTCCTTCTATAATTTTACTCTTCCACCGGATGAGAAAACAAGTCTGAGAGACGATCCAAATGCTTGAGAGGGTGACGGCTGGCAACCACGGGTGGGTGACAGATGCACTTTCTCGTTGACGTGGCAAAATGCTTTCAGGTGCCACCCCTTTCCCTCTCTCTATTAGCTAATTAGGTGCTTCAGTTCTCGTTACAAGGCAAACCGGCAAGACGGAAGTGGAGGAGGTATTCAATGGGTGGGAGAGAGGAAGAATGGAAGAAACGAGTAGACGCGCACAGAGTGAGTCCCCCCGGTTACAGCCCCACGGGGCTTCTTAACCGAGGACGGCTTTTTTCCTTCAGCACCGGCGCCACAGTGACCGCAGTCGGATTACTTCTCGCAGCCGCCATAGGATACTCGGTTTTATCCATCAAGAAGAGTCCCGAAGCCAGTGCTGAGGATGTTGCAAGGGCTTCCGTTGGAGTTGCGGGATCTGAATAGACTCTGTCTGGGAAGTTCAGTTTGAGTTCAGCTCAGGACAAGTCAGTGTTGTTTTTTTTTTTTGGACCAAGGAGGACTAGTCACTAGTCAGTGTTAGAAAGCTGGTAAAAATTGAATGAATACGCCTTGTTTCAAGCATGCAATGCTAGAAAACTCGATGTCGCCCAGTTGTTTTTTTTTTTTCATGATATCAACCGCATCATTAGTGTCCTGGTGTGGGTTATATGCGCTGTATTTTAATCATCCTTTATTTTCTCGCAAAGAACGAAAAGTACTCCTCCTCAGAGGTGAACGGATCCAGCTAACTGGAATCCCGATCTATCCTCCGATTTAAGGCGAACTATACAAGCTTGCATTAATATCAAATCTTGCGTTCAATAGTACACCTGAGGTGCCCCACGATTGGCCTATGAAAAAAAATGCCTGAAATATGGCACGCTTCCTCGGAAAGCTATTGTCAAGAGCAAAGCTTAATGTTAACTTTTCATTCGCAATACGACTCGGGCATAATCCGACGAGTCCGAGATGCACGACTCATGCGGTTTGACGATATTATAATTGTTAGGATACATCTTTTAATCATAAAACATCATCTTCGACGGAAATCTTCTGATTCTCCCAAGAATGACCGTAAACACGAGCTATACTTGCGAAGAATCCTACATTAAGAATTTTGGCTGGGAAATGAAATGGGGGGTAAAAAACATGTGCAGTCCTCAGTTCAAAATTGTACAGAAAATAGGTTACATCTGAGCATGACGGGAGCTGAATTTTAAATCCTTAAGTACCTGATCAAAACCTTGCATAACATTTCTTCCATCTTCCAAGTATATTCAACCAGAACCAGCTACTGTAACTAATCAATTTTCACCGAGGAGTAGATAAGCCTTGTGAACCAAAAGCAGGCATAGAATCCGATGGTGCCGGTTAGCACGAAAAATGCATAAGAAGCTATAAGCATGTAACCGAAGTACAATATGGCAGACACCATCTTTGTGATTTCAAGCTTTGTGAAGAAGTAAAATGTGGCATAAAGGAAGAGGTAAAGCGCAGAAGATCCAGATGTGAGGTATGACCGCCACCACCACAGGTAATCCTCACTGCACAACTGGAAGTAGCAAAGCACAACGGTTATTTCTGCACAAGTGACAAGGAGGATGATGAAGACCAAAAAGAGGAACCCGAAGATGTAGTAAAACTGATTCAACCAGATCGAGGTGAGAATAAAGAAAAGCTCAATGAAAACGGCTCCAAATGGGAGTATTCCTCCGATCAGAACTGAAAAGGCTGGGTTCATGTACCAAGCCTGCTCAGGAATCTGCCTTGGGATTTTGTTCGTCTTCACGGGACTCTCAATAGCAGGCTTCTTGAATCCAACATAGCTACCCACAAAAACAAGTGGAACCGAGATCCCAAACCATAAAAAGATCAAAGCAAACATGGTACCAAAAGGAACAGCTCCAGATGATTTTTGACCCCATATGAGAGCGTTCAACACAAAGAAAATTGCAGAGACAGTTGCTGGGAACATGATTGCAGTCCTGAGGGCAATTTTCTTCCACTCTGATCCTTTGAACATCTTATACAAGCGAGAAGAAGAGTAACCAGCAAAGAGCCCCATGAAAACCCAAAGCAAAAGCATAGCTGTCATCAGTGCACCCCGGTTTGAAGGAGAGAGGAAACCAAGGATGGCAAATATCATGGTCACTAATATCATCCCGAAAAATTGAACGCCAGTTCCAACATAAACACAGAGCAGATCAGAGTGGTTAGGGGGTCTAAACACATCCCCGTGGACAAGCTTCCAACCAGTCTCTTCTTGGGCTTCCTCTTGTGTCTCAAGCTCATTGTATTTTGATATGTCACGGTAAAGTGTTCTAAGCATTATCATCGCCACCATTCCCGAGAGGAAGAGAACAATCATCAATGAGTTCACAATAGAGAACCAGTGAATTTGGTCGTCAGTCATAAGCAGATAAGTATCCCACCGCGAAGCCCACTTCACGTCACTTGGCTAAAAGCAACAAAGGATAAAAGCAGATCATGAGAACAAGACACGAGTAAACATCTTGTCCTGAAAGCAGTAACAACAATTATAGGTGGAAGAAATATGAGAACAAAACTTGGTTACATATGAGAGAGTTATTGATGAGAAGACAATAGAATAAAAGCTAAAATAACACTGACAAATCCAGCCCGCAAAGGAAATGCGTGAGCTTCTCCAACCAAAGGCTTTACCTTATATACTAAAGTAAGCAACGGGACATTCTAGAGAGAGAAAAAAGTACGCAGGTGCCATGCTATCACTTCCTTAACCTCACCTGGAATTCAACATCATATGTGAATATAATTTCCTTGTTCTCCTCGACTTCTTGAGGAGTGTTGGAGTTGACAACTGTGCGTTTAGTGTGAGGATCACAGGTTGTCAAACGGGTCTTCTTCTCATCCCATTTTCCTTCGAATTCATGTTTAACACTGCACATCAACACTCGGAATTAGAAAATCATCACATTACATGCCACAAAAGATGAACCAGTTAGAATTAGAAGGAATAAAAAACAGAGTGGCCAGGGCCAAAAAGTGGGACCTGAATGGCTTAACCTCAAAACCGACAATCCTGGCAGATTCAGTCTGTGAATCCTTATGATACTTGACGGTAAATGCCAGATGGTTGTGGATGAAATACTTCTCCTCCTTGCTCTGCATGTAGAAAGAGTAAGCAACAACATAATTGACATTCACAAGAGACATTTTGCTTCAAATTTAAAGAAACAAAAATATACCCCAGTATATTGGCCTTTGAGTCCAACGTGGAAACCAAGCTGATAAACTGTAGAATCCAGGTCAATTCGCTTTAGGGGAACAACCAGAGGAAGATTATCTAGGATCCTGTGAATTAATAGGGAGAACCATTATAAGAAAAAGATACTTCTTCTTTAAAAAAAATAATAATCAAAATTGCAATCACACGCAGACAGATATATATATTGGCATGCCATACATGTTCACCCGATACTCGTCATCAATCTTCTCTTTAAACTCCTTTGCAGTTTTGGCATCAAGCGTCAGCTTACACAATATATTGCACATTTGTGGCTCACGCATTTTAAACTACAAAAAGTTACTGAGTCACTATCAGCAGATGTCCCTAATAAAATAAGCATTTCAGAATTAATTATTAATTATAATATAAAACTGACCACATAAAGGGAATTTTCAATCCGGTCACCACGTAGTACTTCCCCAAGATTTTCTGCACTGTCCTTTATTTTATCAGGGCGACAGTACGGAAGTGAATAGTATGAGTAAGGGAGTTGAGTCTTCGTTGATGTTAATTTGTTAACTTTCACTTGCAGTGTATCTCCCTGCAGCAAAGAAAAATAAATTGTCCGTCACTCTGATATGAAATAAACAGGTGGTTCATTAATTTGACCAGAGCACAAGCGCGTTGCAAAAAGGCATAGATCACACCCACAGACTGTATCACGTTTTTTACATTTTACAACAAAAGATACAGCAGACATGGTGGTTTTCAGCGAAAACTGAAAAGTAAAAAAGAAATCATGAAAATATCTTTGAAATGACAGAGCACAAGTATCGGGTATTCAGTATAGATATCATAATTACCCGGGTACTCTGGAAAGTCCATTAATTGGCTTAAAGAAGGAAGCACTAATACTATAAGAACGGAGCCTATCATACTATGTCCGATGAACACCCGATGCTCATATCAGATGCAGTATGACATTTCAAATTGTATTTACTTATTGCGTCATGGCCTTTGTAGTGTTTCAAATCTATGTCATTATCAATAATTCCGAGGCAGTATGATTATTGTTTGTCGCATAAAACAAAATTTGTAAACCTTGTACAGTTTTACTCCCATTAACGCGATAAAATAAAAGTATTATCACCAAACTATTTTATTACTCCCGATGTTTAGTTGCTTGCATCAAACTAATTCACATCTTTTCTGACTATTCAAATATCCATTGTCTCTCTAGATAATTATAGAAAGACAGCGAGAGAAAATAGGTTACATGGTTGGGTATCTTAGTATTCCCGGAGTCTTTCAAGGACACATTTCTACTCTTTTACATCAAAAGTTCTAAATACACTCGACTCCTCAGCAAAAACCATGGAACGAGAATTAGATCCAATAGATCCTTGATGCTTAAAATGAGAATCTATTTAAAAAAAAAAAAAAAAACCAATAGTGTGATGTTTGCTAAATTGCCACCGGATGAATGCAGAATAAATATTGGATATCAGACAAAGCATCAACGCAGAAAAGATAGAGCTGGATCGACCAGCTCACTCATGTTGTCCAGCGGAAGTCAATCATAGAGACGGTCAATTCAGATAAACCTAGTATCAGTCTCGAACACAGATCCCGTATTTGAGGATTTTTATCACGGATCAGAAAGTTCGCAAGCAACTGGGAACAAATAAATAAGCGATTCAAAGAAACAGGATGTGTGTGTGAAAGAGAAATGAAGCCGACCTGTTCGAAGTCCTGTGGAGCAACGCCGGGGAGATAGAAACAGTGAGCGCCATGGATAAGGAGCAGAAGAATTGCAGCAAACACCAGCGTAGGGAAGGCAAGCGATCTCAAAAACGCCATGGCGTTCGAGATCGGAGATGGGGGGGGGGGGGGCTAGATCTGAAGACGAAGGTTGTGCCCTTTCAAATGGCTGTTGTTATGTCCGTTGTCGGGGAGAGTTACAAGAACAAGAACAAGTAGGCTGAAAGAGTAGTCGCAACTAGAAAGAGCTCTGGGAGATTTTCTCCGGTTACGATTGGGTGCGGTTCCTGCGTTAGCCAGTTCAATTGCGCCACGTATGTCTTAAATGTAGATCTGACCGGTCATGATGATCCCATCCGCCCATGCCCCTTTTTTTTTTTTACTTTTTGGCTTGCCCCTCTCCTCAAGGAAAAGATGAGTTCTGCTGCTAAGTGCTTGGAAAATATAGAAGGGCTTATAAAATAGAAACACTTAACTCAGTATACTTCTGGCAAAATACGACATAGTTTCTTAACATTAATTTAATCATAATTTTTTTTGACCTGGAATTTAATCATAACTCAATTTTTCAATGAAAATAAATTCATGTGATTAGAAGTAAAGTATTTCACCGAAAAAAATAAAGTAATAATATTAAATATTCATAAGCATGTTAGTGATGCTAAAAACCTCTTGTGGTAATTGTGTAATGCGTGAAATTTGAAGGAAAAATTGCAAATAAAGATCCCAATATATAAAATAGCAATCAGGGACCCTGAATTTGAGAAATTGCTCACAATAACCCGATCCCAATTTGCAATTATGAAATCATGGTCCAAATTACCAAAATACCCCTCTTTAATTTTTTTTTCCAAAAAAGAACACCACTGCCTCGCCGGAATCTGGCCGTCAGCGCCGGAGCTCCGCCACCTCAGCTGCCAGCCGCCAAAGCTCCGATGCCGGCGGCCAGATTCCGGCCATTGCCGGCGGCCTTCCTTTGTTTTTTTTTTTTGAAACTGTTTTTTTTTAAAAAAAATTGGGGGGAAGTGAGGTTGAGGGGATTTAATCCCCCAACCTAATGCTTCCCAAAATTAGGAATGACCATTGAGCCAACAAATTTTTACTAACATTATAATACAAAAAAAAATATAAGTTAATTCATTTACTCTTATTCCAGGTGATAACAATAATACATTTGAAAATAACAAGTCTGGGATTAAAATTTAACAATACGTTTTTTTTATAACAACACACTCTGTTGCAGGTGATAACAACAATACATTTGAAAATAACAAGTTCTGATTATAAAATAACAAGTCTGGGATTAAAATTTAACAACACGTTTTTTTTAAAACAACACACTCTGTTGCAGGTGATAACAACAATACATTTGAAAATAACAAGTTCTGATTATAAAATAACAAGTCTGAGAATAAAATTTAACAACACGTTTTTTTAGAAAATTATTTATATTATGATTTTGGAAAATAAATTATTTATAACTTATAAAAATATTTTTAATATATTTATTTTTTCTAAAAAATACTTTTTAATCTATATATCTATACAACTCATTATAAATCAAACTACTTCTTATAAATTATAAAGCATTTATAATTAAGTATTTTTAATCTATAAATCACAGTATAAATTTTTATATTATTTCATTCTTTAAATATTAAAATTTATTATTAAGTATTTAAATATTATAGTATAATGTATTATTTCATTCTTTAAATATTAAAAATAGTTTTTATATTTAAAGAATAAAATAATATTTTTAATTATAAATTAGAGATAAATTTCATTTATAAATTTAAGCAATCAAAAAGTATTTTTAATCTACAATAAATTGTACTATTTATAATTTATAAGAAGTAGTTTGATTTATAATGAGTTGTATAGATATATAGATTAAAAATTTTAAAAAAAATTAAAAAAGTGTGTTGTCATTTTCCCTAAATCTTATTTATAAATTTGAAAAATAAAAAAGTATTTTTAATCTATAATAAATTACACTTCAAGTTCTGATTATAAATTGGAGATAAAAATTATTTTTTTAGCAAATTAAATAGATTTAAAATACTTTTTATAAGTTATAAATAATTTATTTTTCAAAAGTATAAGATAATTAATTGTTATAAAAAACGTGTTGTTAAATTTTAATTTCAGATTTCTTATTTTATAATCAGAACTTGTTATTTTCAAATGTATTGTTGTTATCACTTGGAATAAAATGTGTTGTTATATAAAAAAAAAAAAAGGTGCTATTAAATTTTAATTTCAAACTAGTTATTTTATAATCAAAATTTGTTATTTCCAAATGTATTGTTGTTATCACCTGAAATAGAGTGTGTTGTTATAAAAAAAACGTGTTGTTAAACTTTAATCCCAGACTTGTTATTTTATAATCAGAACTTGTTATTTTCAAATGTATTGTTGTTATCACCTGCAACAGAGTGTGTTGTTATAAAAAAAACGTGTTGTTAAATTTTAATCCCAGACTTGTTATTTTATAATCAGAACTTGTTATTTTCAAATGTATTATTGTTATCACCTGAAACAAGAGTAAATGAGTTAACTTTTTTTTTTTTGTATTATAATGTTAGCAAAAATTTGTTGGCTCAATAGTCATTCCTAATTTTGGGAAGCATTAGGTTGGGGGATCAAATCCCCCCAACCTCACTTCCCCCCAATTTAAAAAAAAAACAGTTTCAAAAAAAAAACAAAGGAAGGCCGCCGGCAATGGCCGGAATCCGGCCGCTGGCATCAGAGCTCCGGCGGCTGGCAGCCAAGGTGGCAGAGCTCCGGCGCCGACGGCCAGATTCCGGCGAGGCAGTAGTGTTGTTTTTTGAAAAAAAAAAATTAAAGAGGGGTATTTTGGTAATCTGGCCATGATTTCATAATTGCAAATTAGGACCGGGTCCTTGTGAGCAATTTCTCAAATTCAGAGTCCCTGATTGCCATTTTATATATTGGGGAGTCTTTATTTGTAATTTTCCCAAATTTGAACTCGCCGGCAAAAAAAATAAAAAAGAACTCAAGTATACAAAAGTACATCTTAATATTTTCTTGTCAAAATTTTGTGCTTTTTTCACCATCAAGTCTAGAGCAGTTGAATTCAGAATATCTCAATAGGATGAAGTAATTTTGATCCTCTTAATTAAAAATGTATTGATTGAGCTTTGATGCAAAAATATGAACAAATAGATCATAATATAATGGTATTGAGGAGAAATTATATTTTTTCTTTAAGAAAGTGAATAAAAATCCATACTTTAATATTGTTGTATTAAAATTTAATGGTCAATACTATATCTAATTCTTATTATAATTTTCAAATAACTAATTTACGTAGAATAAAAAATTAGTTAAAAGCAGTGTATAGGTGAGAAGTATACTTTTGTCTTCAAACATATTCTTATAATAAATGAGAAAAAAAATTATGAAAAAATATAATAAACAAGTGTGTGGCAAAAGGAAGTAAATAAATAATGAAGGGAAAAAATAAAAAAAATAAATATTAAAGTAAATTTAAATTAAAGTTTATAAAATGCATCATATATAAGGCTTATGCACCGAAAGGAGCATTTTTCAAGCCACCACCCAACTGAGATCTGAGAGGATGTCCTCAGTTAAGTATTTAATTAAAAGGTGGTGACCATTAAATTATGCATGGGTCAACTAGGCCCAAAAAAATGCGTGTTTGGTTGTTCCCCTTTTTGGGTCGGAAAGATGTTTGTTATTGATTTATTGTTTTTTTTTTTTGGAAAAACTAATTTGGGAGTCCTTATAATTTGCCCTATTTTGAACCAGGTCCTTAAGGTTTTATTCTTTTTTATTAGCTCCTTTAAGTTTGCACCGTGATATTCGTTAATCCTTCTCCTTCAAAACCGTTCAACTAGAATGAACGGACCCTTGATTGCTGTTAGAGAGAACTGAGATGCGGCAGGAATATCAAAGATTAGAGGGAAAGCAAGCACTTGGAGGTAGAGCCGGGAAAACGAGTCGAGTCTGTCGGGCCGACCCTTTTAGGCCCTAAAATTATGAGGACCGGGCTTGATATTTTTCTCTTAAAATGAGAAATAAGCCCTGGAGGGCCGAGGACTTAAAAGAGCCAGCCCTTTTAAGCCCTTTTATAATTTTTTTATTTTTAAATTTTTTTATATAATATTAATGTTATTAATTTTTTATATTGTTAATAATATTTCAAATATTTAGTTATTATTATCATTTTAAAATTAAATTTAGTTTTAGACAATAATTTATCCAATTAAATTTTTAAAAAATGGGTTAATTTGGACTTTAATAATGATTTGATTTATATTATATGCGTTGATATTTTTAAACTATATATATATTTGATAATGGAATATTTTTATACTTATATAACTTGTGATTCTATAATTTGAATTAGAAATTCATGAGTTTCAACAACAATGTTTCTCACATTAAAGTAAAATAATAGTTAGATTGCAAAATTTAAAAATAAAATTCTTATAAAGAAGAAAAACTTGATATTTTTGTTACGAAAGAAAAGCATACTTATGAAGAAAAATAATTAATTATAGTGATGATGAAGTTTCAAAAGATTAATGATAGTGTTTATTTATTGCACAATTGCATTATAGATAAAACTTTTAGATGTTGTTATCTTGTTAATGAATGTTTTAGATGTTCTTAGATGTTGATGAATATTTATATATGATAATGTTTTATATTTGTGACTTAATTTTATTCATATTTATGTCTTTTATTAATGATTTCATTAGTTTATTTTTATATTTTTATTAAAAAAATATGATAAATATAAAAAATAGTATTTTTTCTTAAACGGGCCAAAAGTCCGCGGGCCAGTCCTGGCCTTGTAGCTTAAGGGCCGGGCCTAGCAAATTGGGGTATTTTTAAAATTTCAGCCCTGGAGGGCTGGCCCTTTTAAGCCTGCCAGCCCTGAAGGGCCGGCCCTGATTCCCAGCTCTACTTGGAGGGGCTCTTTTGGGACACCTATTATGAACAAGGTGCTATTGAGACTAAGTAATTCTAGGAAAAACACCGTGCTATGAAAAATTCTTACCACGTACTTGAAGATTCACGGCAAAGATATAGTTTAACTATGAAACGTAGAAATTAGTGCAAAGACATGGTGCTGTGTGATTATGATGATGTGGATTCAATTCAATTATTTAAGACTAAGGATCAATTTTCATTTGCAAT